CCTTTACTATTAAAAGAATGATAACATAAATAGCCTTGTATTTATATTAAAAGATATATTTAAAATACAAAATTTTGAGAAAGCATATTTATTTTTTATTGAAGTGTTAAACATTAAGGTAAAAGTGAAGAATTTGTTTTTATTTTGGGTTTAAGTAACATATATTTTTAGGTAATATTTAGAAGAGAATTTTATAAAAGTGTCTTTATGTTATTGCAATTCCAGGGCCCTCCCCACTCCCTTTTTTTTTTTTTTTTTTTTGTTACAGTAAAAAACATAAAATTTCCCATCTTAACGATTTTTTAGTGTATAGTTCATAAGTATTGAATATATTCACATTGTTGTAAAATATCACCAGAGCTTTTTTTATCTTGCAAAACAAACTCTGTGCCTATTAAATAACCACTACTCCTTTTCCCCTTCCCCAAGTCCCTGACAACCATCATTTACTTTCTGTTTCTGTGCATTTAACTAATTTAGATACATCCTATAAGGTGGAATAATATCTACTGGTACACTGATGGACATTTGGGTTTCTTCTCCTCTTGGGAAATATAACTAGTGTGCTGTTATGATCATGCTTGTTCATATAGCTCTTCAAGACCCTCTTTAGTATTCTGTTATATATATTCCTAGAGGTGGGATTTCTGGATTATATGGTAATCCTATTGATTGATTGATTGATACTGGAGATTGAACCCAGGGGTGCTTCACTGCTTAGCCACATCCTCAGCTCTTTTAATTTTTTTTTTTTTTTTTTTTAAGATAGGTTTTTGTTTAGTTGCTTAGGATCTCACTTGAGTTGCTGAGGCTGGCCTCAAACTTCTGATCTGGACTGTCTCAGCCTCTCAAGTCACTGGGATTATAGGTGTGCATCATTATGCCAACTGTTTTTAAGTTTTGTTTTGTTTTGCAGTAAATAAACAAATTAACTATATTAAATTGATGATATAACAAAGGAAAATAGAATTATTTCAAATAACTTTTTTATCTATGCTTTTTTAATTTTAAGGGATTTATTTATTCTAAATAGGTGTATATGACAACAGAATGCACTTTGATTCATTGTGCAGAGTTGTAGCACAACTTTTCATTTCTCTGGTCGTACACAATGTAGTGTCGCACCATATGTGCAGTTATACATTTATCTCGTGTAATGATGTTCGTCTCATTCCACCATCTTTCTTGCCCCCATACCTTCTCCCCTCACCTCCCCACCCTTTGCCCAATCACAGTTCCTCCTTTTTTCCATGCCCTGCCCCCAGTTATGGATCAACATTCACTTATCACAGAGAATATTGGCCTTTGGTTTTTTTGGGATTGGCTAACTTCACTTAGCATTATATTCTCCAACTCCATCCATTTGCCTGCAAATGCCATAATTTTACTCTTTTTAAATGCTGAGTAATATTCCATTGTGTATGTATGCCACAGTTTCTTCTATCCATTCATCTGATGAAGGGAATCTAGGTTGGTTCCACAGTTTAGCTATTATGAATTGAGCTGCTATAAACATTGATATGGCTATGTTACTATAGTATGTTATATTTTGGGTATAGATCAAGGAGTGGGATATCTGGGTCAAATGGTGGTTCCATTCCAAGTTTGTTTTTTTTTTTTTTTTTTAGTTAATAGGTGAACACAATGACTTTATTTTACTTTATGTGGTGCTAAGGATTGAACCCAGTGCCTCAAGCATGCTAGGCAAGCTCTCTACCTCTGAGCCACAACCCCAGCCCCATTCCAAGTTTTTTAAGGAATCTCTATGCTGCTTTCCAGATTGGTTGTACCAATTTGCAGTCCCACCAGCAGTGTATGAGTGTGCCTTTTCCCCCACATCCTCACCAACACTTATTGTTATTTGTATTCTTGATAACTGCCATGAGATGAAATCTTAGAGTAGTTTTGATTTGCATTTCTCTAATTACTAGAGATATTGAGCATTTTTTTGTATATTTGTTGATCAATTTTATATCTTCTGAGAAGTCTCTGTTTAGCTCCTTAGCCCATTTATTGATTGGGTTGTTTGTTTTTTTGGTGTTAAGTTTTTTGAGTTCTTTATATATCCTGGAGATTAGTGCTCTATCTGACATGTGTGTGACAAAAATCTGCTCCCAAAATGTAGGCTCTCTCTTCACCTTATTGATTGTTTCTTTTGCTGAGAAGGTTTTTAGTTTGAATCCATTTCATTTATTGATTCTTGATTTTATTTCTTGCGCTTTAGGAGTCTTGTAAAGGAAATCAGGGCCTAATCTGATGCAATGGAAGATTTGGGCCTACTTTTTCATCTATTAGGCACAGGGTCTTTGGTCTAATTCCTAGGTCCTTGATCCACTTTGAAGTGAGTTTTGTGCATAGTGAGAGATAGGGGTTTAGTTTCATTTTGCTGCATATGGATTTACAGTTTTCCCAGCACCATTTGTTAAAGAGGCTATCTTTTTGCTAATGTATTGTATGTTTCTGGTGCTTTTGTCTAGTATGAGAAAACTGTATTTATTCTGTACCTTCTATTCTGTACCATTGGTCTACATGTCTATTTTGGTGCCAATACCACGCCATTTTTGTTACTATAGCTTTGTAGTATAGTTTAAGGTCTGGTATTATGATGCCTCCTGCTTCACTCTTCTTGCTAAGGATTGTGTTGGCTATTCTGGGTCTCTTATTTTTCAAATGAATTTCATGATAGCTTTTTCTATTTCTATAAGGAATGACATTGGCATTTTAATTGGAATCCCATTGAATCTATATAGCACTTTGGGTAGTATGGCCATTTTGACAATATTAATTTTGCCTATCTAAGAGCATGGGAGATTTTTCTAGCTTCTAAGGTCTTTTTCAATTTCTTTCTTTAGTGTTCTGTAGTTTCATTGTAGAGGTCTTTCACCTCTTTTGTTAAATTGATTCCCAAAGTTTTTTTTTTTTTTTTTTTTTTTTGAGGCTATTGTGAATGGGGTAGTTTTCCTAATTTCTCTTTCAGAGGATTCATCACTGATGTATAGAAATGCATTTGATATTTAGATATTGATTTTATATCCTGCTACTTTGATGAATTCATTTATTCTGGAAGTTTTTGGGTGGAGTTTTTTGGATCCTCGAAGTATAGGATCATGTCGTCAGCAAATAATGATAGTTTGAGTTTTTCTTTTCCTATTTGTATCCTTTCAATTTCTTTGGTCTAATTGCTCTGGCTAGAGTTTCAAGGACTGTGTTGAATAGAAGTGGTGAAAAAGGGCATCCCTATCTTTTCCCCATTTTTAGAGGGAATGCTTCCAATTTTTTTCCATTGAGAATGATGTTGGCCTTGAATTTAGCATAGATAGCTTTTACAGTGTTGAGGTATGTTCCTACTATCCCTAGTTTTTATAGTGTTTTGAACATGAAAGGCTGCTGTATTTTGTCAAATGCTTTCTCTGCATCAATTGATATAATCATATGATTTTTGTCTTTAAGTCTATTAGTGTGATGAATTATATGTATTGATTTCCAAATGTTGAATCAACCTTGTATCTCTGGAATTAACCCAACTTGATCCTATTTTTTAAATATGTTTTTGTATGTGATTTGCCAGAATTTTATTGAGAATTTTGCATCTATGTTCATCAGGGATATTGGTCTGAAATTTTCTTTCCTTGATGTGTCTCTGCTTGGTTTCAGTATCAGGATGATATAGCTTCATAGAATGAGTTTGGAAGGGTGCCTTCCTTTTCTATGTCATGGAATAATTTGAGAAATATTGGTATTAATTATTTCTTGTAGGTCTTGTGGAAATCAGCTGGGAATCCGTCTGGTCCCAGGCTTTTCTTGGTTGGTAGGCTTTTGATGACATCTTCTATTTTCTTGATTGAATTTGTTCTGCTTAAATTGTATATGCCCTCTTGGCTCAGTTTGGGTTGGTTATATGCCTCTAGAAATTTGTCAGTGTCTTTGATGTTTTCTATTTTACTGGAGTATAAATTCTCAAAATAGTTTCTGAATTGTCTTCTGTATTTCAATAGTGTCTATCATGATATTTCCTTTTTCATCATGAATTTTATTAATTTGAGTTTTCTCTCTTCTTTTTGTTAGGGTGGCTAAGGATTTGTTGATTTTATTTATTTATTTTTCATAAAACCAGCTTCTAGTTTTGTCAGTTTTTTGAATTGTTTCAGTTTCATTGATCTCCGCCCTGATTTTAATTATTTTCTGTCTTCTATACTTTTGGTGTTTGGTTTGTTCTTTGTCAAGGACTTTTAGATGTAATCTCAGGTTGTTTATTTGTTGACTTTTTCTTCTTTTAATGAATGAGCTTAATGCAATGAACTTTCCTCTTAGTACTGCTTTCATAGTGTCCTAGAGATTTTGATAAGTTGTATGGGGGTTCTCATTTACCTCTAAGAATTTTTTTTTTATCTCCTTCCTGATGTCTTCTGGTATCCATGTATCATTCAGTAGCATATTATTTAGTCTCCAGGTGTTAGAGTAGTTTCTATTTTTTATTTTATCATTGGTTTCTAATTTCATTCCATTGTGGTCAAATAGAAAATATTGTCTCTATTTTTTTGTATTTGCTAAGACTTGCTTTGTGGCATAACTTTTTAAGTTTTTGAGGAACATCCATATTTTCCAGAGGGATGTTTTATATTCCCACCAACAATGCCTAAGGATTTCAGTTTCTAGGTATTCTTGCCAGAACTTGTTTCCTATTGTTGTTTCAGTTGTAGCCATCCTATTAGATATAAGGTGATCTCTCATTGTGTTTTTTCATTATATATCTCTGATGTTTGGTGATGTTGAATATCTTTTCATCTTTTTGTTAGTTTGTTTGTATGTCATCCTTGGAGAAATGTCTGCTAGTCCATTGTCCAATTTTTAATCAGGTTGCAAATTCCAATTTCTTATGATAACTTGATATTATTACCAGCAGCTAGTAGAGCATATTTAACATAGTTAAATAGTTAGTTGTGTTAATCTAAACTGGTAAGAATATGTATGACCTAAATTTATTTTCTTAATTCCTTCAGGGCTGTTTAGAAATCAAAAGATATTAAAAGAATATAGAGATTTCTTGGGAAACACCAAGGTAAGGATATTTTTCCAATGTTTATATGTGTGTATTACACAGTAAAATACTAATTTTAGTCCATTATGAAGTTTTAGCATGTCTGTAATCTTAATCCAAGATTTTCTTGAGCACATTGTAATTTAATAAGTATTCCTTTCTGGCTTATTTTCTTGAACTTAAAAAAAAAAAAAACTAAATTTGGACATAAGTTTTCTAAGCATGCAGATGTAGACAAAAGTGACTTTATTTTCCCAGATAGTAACAAGATTTATATCTCTCATATACATCCTTAATTTCTTTTGTCTATTTTTCTACCCCTAACTCTGGTTGAACAGTCAGACTATTAACTCTCTGAGTTTGCCCAAGAATCTCAATCCTTGGAGGAGAAAATTACTCAGCCAATTTGATTGTTCTTTCTTTATTGTTTGACTATGCAAAATCAGTGGATCTCAATATTATTTAACAATCTTACTAAACTTTCATAGTACATTCATTCTTCTGCTCTGTGAAATACCTACTGCATACCTTTTTCTCTCTTCTCAAACTCCCTATAGCCTCACTCTTCACTCTTAAGCTTTTGACCTGCTGAAAAACAGATGTACCGATGATCTGACTTAAAATGGTTCCGTTTATAATTTTTTGATTTTTATGATGGTGTAGAAGCATACCTATATGATTTCTCTCTTTCAGTACCTTATTCAGTGAATTTTATGAGATATGCAGAACTTCATTATAAAATAGGCCTTGTGTTAGATGATTTTGCTCAACTGTGTGCTAACACATTAAGGTGGGCTAGGCTAAGCAGTGATGTTCAGTAGGGTAGGTGTGTCAAATGCATTTTCAACTTATTTTATGCTTTTCAGTGGGTTTATCAGGAATTAACCCCATCATAAATCAAAGATCATCTGAAAATTAATAAAAATATATCATTTTTTAAACTGGGGATTTAACCCAGGGGGATTCTATCCTGAGCTATACCCATAGATAATTTTTATTTTGTGAAAGTGTCTTACCCAATCGCTGAAGCTGGTCTTGAACTTGCAATCCTCCTGCCTCTGCCTTCTGAATTGCTGAGGTTTGTGCCCTATCACACCCAGCAAAGTACCTCACTTTTTCATCACAAAATTTACTGACTTATCTACACCCTTGTCAAAATAACAAGCTTTCTTTCCTACTAGAAGTAAGTAATATTGGGACAAATATAGGAAGTTTGCCTTTCTTATCCCACCTCTTCCTTTCTCCTGAACTCAATCTAATTGGACTCTTTTCCCATCACTCCACTGAAATGGCTTTTCCCAAGTCATCGAGATGCCAAGCAGTCTGTGCCCAGAGCTCACTTTCCATTTAAACTTAGCTGGAAGGGATCTCCTGTCAAGAAGTTAATGCCATATCTGGGGAAAAGGCTACATATGCAAATTGTCTTCCTTCTTAATGGCATTTGAGACACTGCTCCCTTTTTGCAAAGTTTACAGTTTAACAATGATGACAATTAAACCCTGTTTTTCTGGCACCCCAGCGATGCAATGAGGGTATAGATTTTCTTTAATAGTAGAGCCTTTGTGTGTCTATGGGTCAGCATTGTCATTCCTGTGCTGCAAGGGCTGATGCCACTGCCTCTCTGCTGTGGAATAAATAATTTAAGCCAGAGACACCTGCCTCCTGGGAAGTGACTTATATCCTTATGCCTGTTTCACATGAACTATCATCCTCACCATATTTTTTTTAAAGTAGCTGTTGACTTTTGTGTCACCAGAGGTCTTTTGAAGACTTAATATGCCTCAGTATTTGAAAACGCCAGGTTTTGAATAGAATTCATTTCAGTTACACCCCTCACACCTTTGAGTGTGGTAAGTGGATAAAACTAGTACACCAATTCCCTCAGTGGTTCCCCTGTTCCTTTTAGGAACGTTCACTCTCACACTAAGGTTGTTGCTTTCCTACACTAGAACATATAAGGTTCTGTTTGTTAGAATTAAATATCTCTTTATTTTTTTATTTCTGCCCCAGATACTTCTTTTTCCATTATATTATTCTTTGTCTCACAGTAATTTCAAGAATAAGATATACGAAGTCACAGTGTTCTGGGTCTGCCAAAAGCATTCTCGTACCAAAACAATAGCTAACCCTCTGATAATCCAGTTGTATATTGTCCATTTAAAACATTTTCTTTTCTTTTTTTTTTTTTTTCTTTTTTTGGTATCAGTGATTGAACCCAGGGACGCTTAACCATTGGGCCACAGCCCTTTTTTAATATTTTATTTAGAGACAGGGTGTCTCATTAAGTTGCTTAGAGCCTCACTAAGTGGCTGAGGCTGGATTTGAACTTGCAGTCCTCCTCCTTCAGCCTCCCAAGCCACTGGGACTACTGGCATATGCCACTGTGCCTTGTTCATTTTCTCTTTAATATGTTCTACTTTCCTGTGCTTTCTCTTAGAATCCTAATTCTGTGAGTTTCTTAAGTTAGTCCTTTAGAACACTGGAAGTACATTTATCTCCAGCTTAAATGAGTAAGTGCCACTTTTCCTGTTAGTCCTCTCTGAAATCTGTCCTAATTTTCTATACTTGTCTCAATCCAAAAGAAACTTGTTAATTGTAAAATTTTTCAAGTATAAACAAAAAATAGAAAAAAAGAGATATCAGATATTCGTTAATTACCATTATTTTGTAATCTTGATCTTGAAAAAGGGCAGTTCTATTTATTTATTTGAGACAGGGTCTTGCTAGGTTGCAGAGGCTGGCCTTGAATCAATTTGCAATACTCCTTCCAAATGGCTTTCTGTATCACTGGAATTACAGGCATGTGTCACACCCAGCTCCAGCTGCTTTTATTATGGAATTTATAGGTAGCTTTTACAGGATGCTTCTCAAGAGTGTTGTGAATCCTGGCTCCCTATAATCTCTTTTATTTTTTCAGATTTTGATTCTCCTGTTAGACACACAATTATTATAAAGGTATCCATACTAGCCCTTCCTTATTATTCTTTCTGACCTTGTTACTGCCAACATTTTCCCCTTTTCTACAATATTCTTTAGCTCAACAAATCTCTTTTTTCCTTATTATAGCATTCTATTCTGATCTTAAAGATCTCATTTCCCTTTCTTCTTGGTTTTTCCCTCCCTTAAATTCTCAAACCTTTCTTCTAAAGAAATCTTTATCTTCTACCTTAGGTAGCATGTTTTTGTTATTTGTATGCATTTTTTAACATTCTCCTCTCTACTCAACCAAAGGATACAGTACATTCTTGTTATAATCAAACACACACTCTCTGCATTTATCAATAAGCAGTAGAACTTAGAAATCTAGATCCATGATCAGAGTTTATAGCTTACTAAGTGCAAATTGAAACCCCACGGACAAGTTTTGTTTTGTATAATTCCTTCTCTTAGTCTTGAAGTACAGAACTAGGAGTACCTGACTTCACACTTTTTTTAATTTATTTTTTTTTTCTGTTTTCTTTTTAGTTTTTAAATTTAATTTAATTTTTTCTTCCCACATTTTTTGTTGGTGCATTATAGTTGTACATACTGGTGGGATTATTTGTTATTTATTCATACATGCACACAATACACAATATAACAGTATAATTTGGCTAACGTCACTCCCTCACTCCCTTCTTTTATTCCATGGGCCCTTTCCTCTACTGATCTCTCCTTTTTTTTTTTTTTTCATTTTCATGAACAGATACCAGATAAATCTGTATTTTACAGTTAAAATTTATACAAAAGTCAAGCCCTGAAGTATTTTTTTCCCTCAGAGGAAAGTTCCAATGATTAAAAAATTTGTTAAAAAAGAGGAGAGAGAATAGTGTATAAAAGTATTTTTACTTAAAATGTTGAACCTTTGCACCACTTATAAATGAAATCAAACCTTTTGCATCTAACATTTTCTTGCCATTCAAGAGTCAAGTTTCTAAAGCTGAAATACCATTGCCAAGTAGTGGTATAAAAGGAAGGATAGTGAATTCTACACATACCTTGGATCACACAACACTGTGCAGCCAGTTGATGGTTTCTGGATAACATTTAGCAGTGATGTGATAAAACACAGTTACGTATAGAGTCCAGTGATTGCCATTTAATCAAGACTCCACTTCTTCATATATTTTACCATTAATAGAGAAAACATCCTTCAAAACAGAGTCATTGAATCTTTATTGTTTTAACAGCATACAATTGTTATAAAGGTATCCATACTAGCCCTACCATAAAATTAATTAATAAATATGGAATTAATAATAAATAAGGAGCCACAAGGAGTTACTTTCATGTTCTGCATCTGTGCACACTTGCATAATGTGGCGCCTGTGCTCATGATACTGTAGAAGCAGCAGTTTCTAACTTGTCTTAAGTGGATACATTGGAAAGTAATAAATAGCCTCATAAAATACTACACTCTACCTGTCATAGGTGAATACTATATATTTTTCATAAAGTGTAGACAGTTCACACTGTTTTTCAAGGCAAGGCCTTTTACTCTGGTGTTCATATGAAATTTAGGAAATACTCTTTAAAATCCTGGCTTCCAGAACTGGGTGAAAACACCATAAAAGTGTAAAACAAGCAAATACACACCCCCCAGAACAAAAACATTTTGCTTCCCTAATGCCTAAATCAGAATCTTTTCTCAGTTTTTTTCTGCAATATCAGGCCAACTTGGATCTATAGAATTTAAGTTGTTATAGACTGCCCTGCAGGACCTCTATTTCATTGAGGTCCAGTCCTTCTCTTTAAGACCTGTTGGTGCTTGCCTGCAGGGGACAAAATTGCCATAAGTTATGGTAACTTAGTAAGAATCAAATTTTGCTTGGCATGAGCCCACTAAACCCTCAAATTTCGTCCCCTATTTGTTTTTCTCAAGGATCCAAGCACCAGTACTTTAGATTTTAAAGACTTTACTTACTTGGACTTATTCATTAAGTTGTAGCCAGCTCCCCACCCCCCTACTTCTTAGGTAGAGCTGGGGAAGAACAGAACAGAATGTATACCAAATCCTAAAGGAAAGGAGAGAACTAACTAAGCATGCCCAGCATTCCGTCACAAGTTCATCAGTTTACCTACCTCATTCTCAGGAGGCCAGTAGGAATAGGGAAGTGTCCGATGCCAACAATATGGGAGTAGCAGGAATCCCTCTTCATGGAAATCAGAGAAGTAAGGAAGTATCAAATACACTAGCAGGTATTCTTCTTTGGAACACATTGTTCTCAAGAATGCTAAGACAACCTTTCTCCAGCATTTTTTCCCCTACTTTATTAATCCCTCTTCCTCAGTTTCCCTTGCAGAGAACTCTTCCTCTTTATCCAAGCTGCTAACATTAGAGATTCATTAAGGGCCTTTTTTATATTTTAAATCCATTAGCAAGTTCCATTGGCATTTTCTCCAAAATACATTCCTAGTGTAGCTGCCTCTCACTGTGTCCTTTATTGAAACCCTAGTCTAAACCATTCTTCTCTCCTACCCGGAACATCTTTCTAATTAATCACTCTATCTTTTGTTTTTTTAGTCCACATCATAAACTGTATCTTTTAAAAACATAAATCAGACTATGTCAAGTCTCTGCTTAACATTATTCAGTGACTTTCTTTTTTTCCCACTAGAATAAAATTCAAACTAAGTAAGTAAGGAGTCTGCAGAGTCCTGTGGGATATAGCTCCTGTTTCACTGGCCCCAGTTCCTACCATTTTTCTTGCTTCAGCCACTGTGGCCTTATTTTTGTCCTTTGTACAAACCAAGCTTATTTCTGTTACAGTCTTTGAACTTTCTCATCTCATAATTGAGCCTCTTTCCCTGACTACTTGAACTCTTCCCCACCCATTGCCATATTACTTCTCTTTAATTTGCTTTATTATATTCATTTTGATGTTAGGCATTTGTGATCTATGAGATTTGTGAAGGCAGGAACTCCCTTCTTGTTTACTGTCATGTTCCAGCATCTGGAACTGTGCCAGGCATAGAGTAGTTGCACAATAAGTATTTCCTGAGTAAATGGTGGAAGGAAAAACATAAAATACTTTAATAAAGGTGTAAAGTACAATAATAAATTTATAGTAGAGTATTTCTGTGTTGATTATCAAGGAAGGCTATCAAGGAAGAAAGGTGACACTTGGCTAGACATAGAAGAGAATAAATAGATTGCAGTGGAAAAAGTAGGTAATAACAAAAAGTAGGTAATAATAATAATAAAAGAAGGTAATAACTAAATCCAGGAGAAGGAAAAAGTATGAGAGAAAACACAAGGAAGTATATATTCAAAGAAAGGCGCAAAAAAAAAAAAAAAAAAAAAAAAAAAAAAAGAAAGAAAAAGAATATAGTTCCCCTGAATGTTTCCCTACTTGCTTTGTTTCGTTTGTTTTGCTTTGTTCTGGAATTTAACACACTATTTTCAGTTGAGGTCTTTTGTCTTGAGAGAACAGTCAGAAGTTGAAGTAGAACAGCAGAGTCATTGGCTTTGGCTGTTTCTTTTTGAAAAGTTAAGAAGTTGCTTAAGAAATGCAAAATTTGTAGAGTATATGAATTTCAGTTCAATATATTTTTATCACTTTATTACTAGTTTCTTTGTGGCCCATTTGGATCCTTTCTGGAAGTAGGCATGACATGAATTACAGGCAAAACACTTAAGGTCTTTTTCCAGCTGCATTTTTAATTTTCTTCTGCCCATTTTTTAAGAGGAAATTCTGAGGGAAAAGAAATAAGTAAAGCCTAGTTGTTGAGAGATTTTGATAGAAGACAAATTTTCTACTGTGTCAGAGTATTATAGTGCTTTTGTGGGAGATTTTGGAGAGGTTTTGTTTTTGTTTTTGTTTTTATAGCCACGTTCCAGAACAGCATCAGTGTTCTTTAAGGGACCAGGAAAAGTGGTGATGGTTGCCATTTGCATGTAAGTACTGAAAAATAAACTTGTAAAAATAGAAATATATTCTTTTTAATGTGTGTATGCCTGAATAGATAAAGTTATTACTTGGTAGGGAGCTATAGAGTTAGAGGTTCATGTTGTTTTAGGAGGAATCGAATAAGCCTGTATTGTTAGTAAAGCAGTGGGGGAAGAGTAGGAGTCCACAGAGGCAAGCACTCACGCTTGTGCTCTATGTACTTTTGATATTGTTAAGATCTGCATTGCTACCTGAAATTGTTTATTTTCACTGAAATTGGTAGAATATCTTTTAAAATGTTAAATCAGCCAAGCTTATTTTTTGAATAACTAAACCAACCTAGGTTACAGATACTGAAGAATATATTCATGCTTGTTTTCTCCCATTTACCTGGAAGAACATAATTATTGATTTTTTTCTTTTTCCGTCTGTCTTCTTGATTCCTGTTACATTGTTTACCTTTTATTCATTTTGCTAATCACTTTTTTTTTTTTTTTTTTGATACTGGGGATTTAACTCAGGGACACTTCTATCCCTGAGATACATTCCCCAGCCCTTTTTATTTTTTATTTTAAGACAGGATCTCACTAAGTTGCTTAGGTCCTCACAGCTGAGGCAGGCCTCAAACTTGTGATCCTTCTGTCTTAGCCTCCCAAGTCGCTGAGATTGCAAGCATGCACCACCACGCCCAGCTGATCAATCTATTCTAAGCTGTATAGCCAGGCACAGCCGCATACACAGTGGCATAAACCTACTGACTCTGGAAGCTGAGACAGGAGGCTTGAAAATTCCAGACGAGCTTCAGCATCTTAGCAAGGCCCTAAGCAACATAAAAGCATTAATTCTATAATTCATTAGTTCTTTTATTTCTTAAAAATATGTATCAGAAACTATAAGAAGACCTGGATATGTAAAGATACAATGCATGATTCTTTAAGATTTGCAGGGGTACTAAACTATAGCAAGGGCATTTACAATAATGTAAACAAGGGATGATGATGTCATGATGGGACACATGGAGAGACACAGACAGATTCAGTGGGTACTTAAAAAATATGGTCAAAGATGATACCCAAGTTTCTCTCTTTAGGCATTGGGTAAATATTGTTCCATTCACTGAGAGAAATGCTAGAAGGAGGGCAAAGTATGGACAGAGAAAATATTTTAGTTTGAGGTATCTGTAGGTCAGATGTAGGTGATCAACAGGACTAGTTCTTTTTTTTTTTTTTTTTCTTTTTTGTAGCTGTAGATGGACAGAATGGGGTTTTTGTTGTTGTTGTTGTATTTTTATGTGGTGCTAAGGATCGAATGAAGTGCTCACTCATGTTAGGCAAGCGCTCTGCCACTGAGCTACAGCCCCAGCCTGGATTAGTTCTTTTTGCTAGTAAAATAGTGATAGTAATTATAGCTCTCCTTGTTAGAGGAATATGTATAACATCTATAACCTGGTTAGTATAGTACCTGGTGCATAAAATATACTTAATAATTATTATTGTTAATGTATATTGGTCTAAGCTCAGGAGAGAGAACTAGGTTAGATATTTAGAGTCAAAAATTATCAGTATTCATATTAGTATTTAATTATTCAAATGATAATTAAAGCCACAGGAGTACTTGAGATCATATGGGGAATAGTACATATAGGGTGAAGAAAAGCCTCCATGAGAAATCCTTGAAGAATGCTGACATTTAAGAAGTAGGTGGAGGAACCCCCACTACAAAGTTGTGTCTTTGGTTCTCTGTCTTTGGACACATAAGAATTAGCGGTAAAGAAATATAGATTTGGAAAAGTCTGGGGGCAGCTCATTCCCCATGGGCTTAAGGTCAGTCACCCCACATAGAAAAGGGAAGGAAAAAAAAGTGGAGGAAAAAGAGCCTTCAACGGAGAGAGGAACAGTGAGGCACAAGGTAGGAAGAAAGCCAGGAGTATCAAAAGTGGCAAATAGAGGTTAAGGAAAGTACTAAAATATTTCTAGGACTTTAATAACAAGGAATAGTTGCTAGTATTGATAGGAACAATCTAGTAGGATGTTGAAGGGAGGAGACATTGTGTAGTGAACCAGAGACTTAGTATAAAGTGAGGAAAACTGAGACCATAGAAATAAATTAGATTTTTTTCCCAATAAGTTATTTGCCCAGTGTGGTGGCCTCTGCTTGTAATCCCAGCTACTTCGGAGACTGAGACAGGAGGATCACAAGTTTGAGGTCAGCCTGGGCTACTTAGCAACACCCTGTCTTAAAATAAAAAGGCCTAGGGATTTAGTTCAGTGGTAGAGTGCTCTTGTGTTCAGCCCCCACTATTGCAAATAAATAAATAAATAAATAAATAAATAAATATCTGAAGTGAAGGAGAGTGGGAAGGGGAAAGGATAATTGGAGGTGTACAGTTTTCTTATTTACAAAATGTGGGTGTTAATATTTGTATTATGGAGTTGTAATATAGCATGGTAGGTGACAAGCACAGTGCCTGAGATCAGTCATGTTAGTCATTACTGTTGGAATCTGAGCTCCTCTTTTTCTCTGAGGTAATCCTGTTTATTTGAGCATTTGGGTCTTCTAGTTTTGACCCAAGGCTATATAATTCTAGGTTTGTCCTCAACTCTGGCATCTCCCTGCTCAACAGAGGTTTACCAAAGTCTTGTCTTTAATGCTGGCCTCCTGGACAATATCAAATGCAGATTCTCTTTTACTTTTCATCTTGTCCAAATGCAGAATACCCTCTTTTCTCTCACATTCTCAAAATATGGTCAAGTAATTGTTTACATATATTGTGCCTCTTTATGTGAGTACTTAATGGTACCATAAACTATATTTCTCAGATTTGTACTCTTGTTATGTGAATGGTAATAATTTCTTTTAAATTTACTTTTAATGGACTTCAGTCAATTAAATAAGCTTTTGGTGAAAATTTTTAATCTAAACCTATGCTAAATTGTTCTCTCTCTCCCCTAGCAATGGTTTAAACTGCTTCTTTAAATTCCTTGCCTGGATTTATACGGGTTCAGCAAGTATGTTTTCAGAAGCTATACACTCATTATCTGATACTTGTAACCAGGTGAGGATAAAAGCTTTTTTCTTACTAATTTTAAAATACATATTTAAGCTTTAGTCTGAAAGTTGATATATTTAAAAACAGTGATTCCTATAGTTGGTTTATGGTAGAAAAGGAAAATTGTTTTACTTTTGAGTGATTAAGTACAATTGGCTTTCTATATCTGTGAGTTCTACATCCATGGTTTCCATATCTTAAGATTCAATCAAAATTACTAAAAAAAAAAAAGAAAATTGTATCTGTACAGAACATGTATATTCATTTTTCCTTGTCATTCCCTAAACAATTTGGTAATTATATACATAGCATTTATACTGTGTTAGGCATAAGTAATATAGAAATGATAAATAATATAGAAATGATTTTTTAAATGAGAGGATGTTTGTAAGTTGTATGCAAATTATACTATTTTATATAAGGGATTTGAGCATTCAAGGATTTTATTATCCTTGAGTTGTCTTGGAATTAATTCCCCAATAATATAGAGGGTTATCATTATATTTTAAAGCAGATCATTAGGCTCTGAGAACATCCAGCAATGGAATGTGAAGTATGGCTATCAGTTACGAAGTGGTTACAGGTTTTTCTAGAAGAAATTCTTACATTGAGTAGAAATTTGTTGTCTAAATGAGTTCTTAATGACTCTAAGAGTCAGTAAATTAAGTTTTTGAGTAAAGATATAAAATAGTGGGAAATTACAGTCACATGAGTTAAGAAGACAGAAATGAATGTTCAGGGAATCTGAAGTGACTCCATTACAAAGCAGAATTCAATAGAGGAAGGAACTAAATAAGACAAAAATCTGTGGAAGTCTTATATAGGGATTTCCTTGAGTTGAGTCTTTGCTGAATGTTAATTCACACATGTGTAAGGTGTAGACATTAGTCTGGGTAAGAAACCATCATGGAGCAGCAATAAGCTGAGTAAGTCCTAGAGCTTACACAGGACTGAAATACATTCAAGTTCTGAGAGGTGAGATAAGAGGGTCCCCATTAATACCCGGTCAACAAAAGGCTCTTACCATAATAGTGGAGATAAATTATCCTTAGTTGTAAAGGCTATTTTAATAGAACCCTTCCTAACAGACCTCCCTAGATCAAACTGATATGCAGACAATTTAATAACTTGTCAGAAGAAAGCCCTACACTCTTTAAGGAAGATAGGGAAATCCTAACATTCAGTATAACAAGTATTACATGCACAGTGTTTAGCATACAATTTTAAAAAAACCTACTAGATGGTCCAAGGAGCAGGAAACTTTCACTCATAATCAGAAAAAAAGTCAGTGAGTAAAACAGTCTATTTGATGGATGATAGAATTAGCAGACAAGGGTATTAAACAGTTATTACCTATGTTTTTGCATTGAAAAGAAATGTGAATGTAATGAGAAGAGAAAGGGAAGATATGGATAAAGAACTGAATGAAGTTTTTTGAGCTAAAAAGAAAAATGTCAGAAAAAATTCACTGTATAGAATTAATACCAGATTAGATAATGCAAAGAAAACAATTAGTCTTGAATTTGTAACAGTACAAAACATTCTAAAACCAGAGAGAGAAAAGATGAAGAAATCCATAGTAACCTATAGGATAGTATCAAGAGAACTTGATCAACTTTTAAGGAAGAAATAATAGTACATAGATTTTCAGAAATGGAGAAGGAAATTCTTTTCAACTCCTTTAATGAAGCAGAACTTTACAAAATCATTACAAGAATAAAGAAAAATAGAGAGACCAGGATCCCTCATGATCATGCTTCAAAAATCTTTAAAAATACAGTCAAATCTAACACTCTGTAAAAATAAGTATAATCTAGTGACTATAATTCCAGGAATGTAAGGTTGGTTTAATATTTATTATCAGTAAGTTTAGAAGGTTAATATGCAGCTACCAGTGCATTTCTACTATCAGAAAATCAATGAGAGAAATACGACTCTTAAAAATTTCCATTAGTAGTATCACAAAATACTAAATAAGAAATCTAATAAAAGATGTACAAGATCTTTATACTGAAAATTATAAATTTGGAGAAATTTTAAAAGATTTAAAGAAATGGAGAGATAATACTATGTTCACATGGATTGGATGCCATGGGATTAATATGTAAAATTTTCCTAAAGTAATCTGCAGATTTAATGCAATCCTAATTATAATCCCTACAGACTTTTTATACAAATTGACAAACTGAATAAATTTTAAAATTTTATTTGGAAATGCAAAGAATTTAGAATATGTAAAGCAATCTTGAAAAGAAATTCAGAGGACTTCAAGTCAGATAAAGCTTAATAATTAGAACAATGAAATATTGGCATAAGAATTGACAGACAAGTAGCCATGCACAGTGTCACAGGCCTGTTGTTCTAGCAATCAGGGAGCCTCAGGCAGGAGGATCACAAATATAGGCTAGCCTGTGCAATTTAGCAAGACTCTTGTCTCAAAAAAGGGCTGGGGATATAGCTCAGTGATAAAGTACTCATAGGTTTAGTACCCACTACTAGGGGAGGGGGGCAGAAAGAATTGACAAATAGAACAGAATAGAGATTCTACCAACAGATTCACATTTACATTGACTTTTTTGGTGGGGGAGATTACTGGGGATTGAACCCAGGGGTGCACTGTTCCTACCCCTGCCCCCAGTTTTTAAAACTGTGAGACAGGGTCTCCCTAAGTTGTTTAGGGCCTCGCTCAGTTGCTGAGGCTGGCTTTGAACTTGTGATCCTCCCACCTCAGCTTCCTAAATTGCTGGGATTATAGGTATGTGCCATTGTGCCCAGCACTAGCTGACTTTTGAGGGAGGTACCAATGTAGTTCAGTGAAGAAAGGAAAACTTTTTTTCCTTTTTTAACAAACACTACTAGAAATTTTAGATATCCATATGGGGACAGAAGGAACCTTGACCCATATGTGTACAAATCTGAGGTGGGTCATAGGCTCAAATATAATAGCTAAACTGAAGATTCTATAAGAAAATATCTTCTAGACTCTTGGATAAGCATAAACTTTATAAATAGGAAATAAACTATACCATAAAAGTTGTTTACAAATTAAACTTCATGAAAATTAAAAACCTTTTCTTATTAAAAGACACCCTTAAGAAACTAAAAAGGCAGCCTAGGGTTGTAGCTCAATGATGGAGTGCTTGCCTTGTATGTGTGAAGCACTGGGTTTGATCCTCAGCACCACATAAAAATAAATAAATAAAGATATTGTGTTCATCTACAAACTAAAGTGAAAAAAAAAAAAGAAAGAAAGAAACTAAAAAGGCAAGCCATAGACTGGGAGAAAATTAGTCACAAAACATATCTGACAAAGAATTGGTGTCTAAAATAAAGAACTTATACAACTCGGGAATAAAAGATAACTCAATTTTTTTAAAGATTAAAGTTTTGAACAGGTATTTCACAAATAAAGATACATGAGTGGTGGCCAGTAGACACATGAGGAAGTGCTAATACTATTAGTCACCAGAAAATATATACTAAAACCACAGCAAGACCCTCTGTTCATCCACTATAGTGGCTAAAATTAGAAAGCCAGACAATCAGATGTTAGTGAAGATAGAGAGCAGCCAGATCTCTTAGACATTGCTGGTAGAAAGAAAATGGTCCACTGTTGAAATGTTTGGCATTCTCCTATAAATATATGCCTTTCCTGTTGACCCAGCAGTTGTACTCCTAAGTATTTACTCAAGAGAAATGGAATGAATGTCCACAAAAGACTTGTATGAGAATGTTTATAGCTGCCTTACATATAATGCCCAGAAAACTGGAGTCCATCCAGTGCCCATCAACATCAATAGGTATAAACAGTCAATGAAATATTATCTGGCAATAAAAAAGAACGAACTACTTATCTAGTTGGTAGCATGTATGCATCTCAATACTGAAAGAAGGTAAACACAAAAGAGTACTTATGATAAAATTTGAACTATAATTTAAATTTTTTAAAATGGTTGTTTCTCTTGTGGGGGAAGATTAAAAAGAGGCATAGGGGAACTTTGGGGGATGATGGAAAGGTTCTGTCTTGATAGGAATATGTTACAGAGCTGTGTACATTTGTTAAAACTCAAAAAACTATAAACTCAGAATTTGTGTATTTCACTGCATGTGAATTTTTTCTCAAAAATAAAAATTTTTATGCCAAGCATGATGGTGCACTCCTGTAGTCTCAGCAACCCATGAGGCTGAAGCAGGAGGATCACAAGTTTGAGCCAGCCTCAGCAACTTGGCAAGACCCATCTTAAAATAAGAAATAAAAAAAGCTGGGGATGTAGATCAGTGGTAAAGTACCCTGGGGTTCAGTCCTCAGTACCCCCTAAAACTTTTTTTATATACAAATGATGTTACTGAGTAGAAATTCTATAACATTAATATTAGAATTAGTATTAATTTTTAGAAGTTTGATAAATAATCTTCTGCTTTTATTTTCTAAAAGGCCTATTTTTTAAAGAAATTCATCCAAAATATTTAAAGACAAAATGATATGATGCTAGGAATTTGTTTCAAAACATTTATGAGGAAATAGATATGAATTAGATAAAATAGATTTCATCATATATTTATGGTTGATGATGCTTAGAAATGGAGGGGTTGAGTTTATTGAAATGGTCTGTCAGATTTTTTGAATTGTTTTATCCATCCACCCATCTGTATATTAGAAAAGCAAAGTGCAAAAAGACATGTAAATTGCGATAAAATATTTAAGCATGCACACCCCTTTCTGAAATAGGGCACAAACATATTCACAAAAGCAATATAGAAGCTGGATGCTCACCTATAATCCCAGGAACCCAGGGGACTGGGGCAGGAGGTTCAAAAGTTGAAGGCCAGCCTCAGCAACTTAGCAAGACTCTGTCTCAAAATAAAAAGGACTGGAGATGTAGTTTAGTGATAAATCATCCCAGGGTTTAATCCCCAATACAAAAAAAAAAAGGATAAATTTAAAAATATACATAGAGATAAAGATAAACGTGTGTGTGTGTGTGTGTGTGTGTGTGTGTGTGTGTAGAGAGAGAGAGAGAGAGAGAGAAAGTGTCTGAAATGTACTCCAGACTCTTATTAAATAATCCCATCTCCTGTATTACTTAAATTTCTTTAAAGTGAGCATGTATTAGTTTTGTAACTAGAAAAAGAAATGAATTTTTGTAAAGGAATAAACAAAATAAGAAAAAAAATAAGTTTGAAACCATGTGGTATTAAGTGCTTTAAGAACTCCTGAGGGGCTGGGGTTGTGGCTCAGTGGTAAAGCGCTTACCTGGCATGCGTGAAGCACTGGGTTTGATCCTCAGCACTACATAAAAATAAAATAAAGATATTGTGTCCACCTGAAACTAAAAAATAAATATTAAAAAAAAGAACTCCTAAGTGAAGAGTATGCCTTAGAGTTTTCAAAAAGGCTTCAATGACAAAGATTTTAATTGGACCTCATACAGTAGATGGAAATTGTATCTCTCATATCCTTTTGAAAACTGTTCCTTTTGAGATCTATAATAACATTTCTAAAAATTTAATTATTTGCAGTATTTTAATGCCATATTTTTTCTTCTTGAGCAACAAAACACTTCCAGCTTTAAATTCGACCTTTATCTCTAATGATGATTTAGTTTCACAATTTGAGAGTTTGTTTTGAAAGCTTTTCTGCTAAATAATATACAGCACATTATTTAATATTAACTCACATGAGTTTATTGAACACTTGAGTTTTCAATGTAGTAAGTGTTTAGAAGAAGACATACTCCTTTGTCTTGTAAGCAGGTCATATGCACTAAAACAACTGGAAAGGAGGTAGGGTCATGGCTCAGTGGTAGAGCACTTGCCTAGCTTGCATGAGGCACTGGGTTCGATCCCCAACACCACATAAAAAACTAAATTAAAAAAATAAAGGTTTTGTGTCCATTTACACCTAAAAATATTTTTTAAAAACCAAAAACTAGAAAGATCTGCCAAGACAGCATTTAACAGCTGCATCTATAGTAATGAAGGAATGTCAAAGGGAAGGTTTGATTATGGAGCAGTGAGCACTGATGATGCTTCTTTGCCACTAGATGTTAGTACTGTGTTGTAGTGGTTATATATACATTAACAAGTGTGGGGTGTGTGTGAAAGATAAATGTGCAGGAAAAAATCTAGAATGACACCTACCCAACATAACTGTGATTCTACCTTACCTCTGAGGGAGAACAGGATTACGGATGAGCTATGAGGTCTGATTTTTATATGAATATATGTGGCACAAATTTTGATTTATAAAATAGTTATTGAGTGCTGGGGTTGGGCTCAGTAGTAGAGCATTTGCCTAGCATGTGTGAGGCACTGGGTTCGATCCTCAGCACCATATAAAAATAAATAAACTAAAATAAAGGTCCCTTGATAACTAAAAAATCAAAATTAAAAAAAAATATTGTTGATATCCCAGACTTTATTACATATGCAATCTGAATATTAAGGATTTTAAAATGATTAAATCCTCATCAAATATTTCATAAATATTATAAACATATACATATGTATACATGTATATATACATTCATAGCATAAGGTGAGTTCATCACTATTTTAATGTACAAGTTTAAGAGATCTATATTTCTATTTATTTAGGATACTAGGGATTGAACTCAGTGGCACTTGACCACTGAACCACATTCACAGCCCTTTTTTGTATTTTTTGTTTTGTTTTTAAATTTTTTATTGATTTTTTTAAAATAAATGACAGCAGAATGTGTTACAATTTTTACTACACGTATACAGCGCAATTTTTCATATCTCTGGTTGTATATAAAGTATGTTGATACCAAATCCTGTCTTCATACATGTACTTTGGATAATGATGTCCATCACATTTCACCATCCTTGCTAATTCCCTGCCCCTTCCCTTTCCCTCCCACCCCTCTGCCCTATCTAGAATTCATCTATTCTTCCCATGCTCCCCCTCCCTACCCCACTATGAGTCAACCTCCTTTATCAGAGAAAACATTCACCATTGTTTTTTGGGGATTGGCTAACTTAGCATTATCTTCTCCAACTCCATCCATTTACCTGCAAATGCCATGATTTTATTCTCTTTTATTGCTGAGTAAAATTACATTTTGTATATATGCCACATTTTTTTTTTATCCATTCATCCATAGAAGGGCACCTAGTTTGGCTCCACAGTTTAGCTATTGTGAATTGTGCTGCTATAAACATTGATGTGGCTGTGTCCCTGTAGTATGCTCTTTAAGTCCTTTGGGTATAGACCAAGGAGAGGGATAGCTGGGTCAAATGGTGGTTCCATTCCCAGCTTTCCAAGGAATCTCCATACTGCTTTTCATATTGGCTGCACTAATTTGCAGTCCCACCAGCAATGTATGAGTGTGCCTTTTCCCCATATCCTCGCCAACACTTATTGTTGTTTGTCATAATAGCTGCCATTCTGACTTGAGTAAGATGATATCTTATAGTAGTTTTGATTTGCATTTCTCTAATTGCTAGAGATTTATTTTGCATTTTTTAAAAAATATTTTTTAAGTTGCTGGTGGGCCTTTATTTATTTATATGCAGTGCGAGGAATTGAACCCAGTTCCTCACCCATGGTAGGCAGTTATCACTGAGCCATAACCCCAGCCTCATATTTTGTATTTTATTTAGAGACAGGGTCTCACTGAGTTGCTTAGCAGCTCGCTAAGTTGCTGAGGCTGGCTTTGAACTCAGATCCTCCTGCCTCAGCCTCCTGAGTCATTGGGATTACAGGCATGCGCCACCGCGCCCAGCTATATGTTCCTTTTAATTTACTCCCATTTTCTTAGTTTAATTCACTGAAGAGTCACCACCTGTAATTTAGATAATTCACCCTCCCTCCTTGGGAATCTGTCTTTTTTAAAAAAAAGGACTTATAATATTCTGTGTATTTATGGTAGGATTTCCAATATCAAAACGTAAAAATCCAGTATCTATTTGTTTTGACCATTTTTAAGATGCTTTATTCTCTATAAATTTTTTATAATTTTTAATAAAACTCATCTTTGAGGAATTTGGTTATCTGGAAGCCTTATATATCTAATTATTTGGTATTATACTGAAATACAGGAAGGTCCTGAATAAGTCAATTAAAATTATATAGGGCATTCATGTAGAGGCTTTGCATTCTTATTAAACAAATAGTTCTAATGAGGTAGATAGTTTTATAGATTTCTAAATTCACATCAAAGTATAATGGATGGTACTTACTACAAGCAAGCATACTTATATTGAGAAATTCCAATGGATAACTCTTTAACAATGTATAAAATTCAGAAATTAAAGAAGGGAAGGAAAGTTGAAGGCAAGAAAGAAAGGAGGAAAGTGGGGAAAGTGGGAATCTGGCTATTAGAATTAAACACATGTTAGCAATTTACCATGTTTAGGTTTTTGTTTTTTAAGAAATAAAACTTTGAGTTGGGGTTGTGGCTCAGTGGTAGAGCGCTTGCCTTGAACGTGCAAGACCCTGAGTTCGATCCTCAGCACCACATACAAAAATAAACAAGTGAAATAAAGGTATTGTGTCCAACTACAACTGAAAAATAAATATTAAAAAAAAGAAAGAAAAAAGAAATAAAATTTTGTGTGGGTTGCATACTGAGGATTGAATTCAGGTCCTTGCACATGCTAGGTAAATACTCTTATCACTGAGCTATACCCCCAGCCAAGATATATAATCTTAGTTATTATAAGTTTTTCATCTTTATTTCTTCCTTTCTATTCCCCAGATAATCAGTGCCCTGTGCACATTGATGTGTGTATTTCCTGTGCATGGTTTTGCTGTTTTGCTACAAATATACAAATTCGTATACACAGTGCATACTGTCTAAAACTTTTTACTACTTTTTGTTTATACAGCTATACTAGTTATTTATCTTGTAAAAAAATTAGATACTACAGACTATCCTAACAAACTTGAGTTATAAACAGTTAAGTATAGGTAACTTCAGACCTTTTCTTGTGCTTAATAAGTAATTTATTAAAACTACAGAACATGAGTTGTTTTATATTCTATGTACTACCTAATTTGCTTTTCTACCTGCTTCCACTTTGTAGTAGGTCTAGAAGCTGTTTACATGTCAGTATAAAAAGCTCTGCCCCATCCACATTCTTTTAAAGTATTGTAAAAGTAATTTAAGGTTTATTACTTGTTTTCCCAAACTGATGGATTTTAAAGTTGCTTTTGTGTTTTTCATCTTTATAAATAGTGTTGTTTTGAGCCCTTTGAGATTCATTTATTTTTCTGAGTACTGAAAACTAAAATTGCTGGGCCATTGGACATGTGTTATGGAGTTTTCTTGTTGTCAAAATTGGCTTAATCATATAATATTTTCCATCTTGCTAATGATTATTTACGCTTTTTCCTTCTTCTCCATAGGGTTTACTAGCATTGGGCATCAGTAAGTCTGTTCAAACACCAGATTCTACTCATCCGTAAGAATATTGCCTTTTTGTTTCTTTTTTTGGCAACAAGTTGTTGAAATCAAAGGAACTAAATTTTAGAAACCTCCTGCAATTTATATGTCTGCAATTTGTAAAAGATCTGACCATTTCTTCTACTGTAGTATCTAAAATGTAGGACTAACTGTTGTGCCTAAGTAAATTTAAGGTATAATTGAATATGAATTTTAAATTATTTTAATGCTTTGAAACACAGCATGAAGATCTTTTGTTCTCCACATTTGATAATAATAAAGCACTTATTTGGGCCTTAGAGTTCTGTTTTATTTCGGTCCAGGAAGCATACTTCAAATGTAGACTAATAGGCTGCCCAGTCTAAAGTTTTGTAGATAACTTTCATTAAATATATACTTATTTTAATCCTTTTATTTTTATTTTAAAATATCTTGTTTATAATTTAAAATTATGTATTTGTAAAAGAGTATACATTTTAGAATATATTATTTTGAACCATATCAATTATTTGATAGTTTTTTCTTTTGCTTTTAACAACCATCTAAAATAAAATATTTGAATTTTACATGCATCATTATGTTTACTAGTTTTATTAATAGAATTTGATCAATCTTAGAATGAAAAAAATGCACTTTGGCTGGGTGCAGTGGCACACACCTATAATCCCAGCAGTTCAGGAGGCTGAGGCAGGAGGATTGTGAATTCAAAGCCAGCCTCAGCAAAAGCAAGGCACTAAGCAACTCAGTGAGACCCTATTTCTAAATAAAATGCAAAATGGGGCTGGGGATGTGGCTCAGTGGACGAGTGCCCCTGAGTTCAATTCCCGGTAACCCCCACAATGCACTTTTATTTCTGTGAAGGTGTCTGTATCTATGCTTTATAAATGCCTTTCCTTACTTGAAAGAAAGCACTCCTGTTATAAATAATAACATTTTGAATATACTATAATAATCAATCAGCTAATATAGAGAACAACTAGTTCCCTAATCTGCTAATTGTAATAGCAGATTAGCTATTAGCTAATAGTAAAATTGCATTTTACTATCTCCAAAAAAAATTTTTCCTGACCATTGTTATATGCCAAATATTTAAAATCAGAAAGTAAAAATTTTCAATTTTATGTTGTGAAAATTTCTTCTTAGGCTATTTTTAGTTATTTACTTTAGTGCTGCCCAATAGAATTTTCTGCAGTAATAAAACTATTTTTTATCTGTCCACTACTTGTGATTATTGAGCACTGGAAATGAGTCCAGTGCTAATGAATAACTAAATTTTGATCTATATTTAGTTTTAATTTAAATTTGAATAGTCACATGTGGCTAGTGACTTAGCACATTGGACAGTGCAGATCTACATGATAAATTTTTCAATAAGAGCCTAAAATTTCTTGAAAACAACTGAAATGAAATTATGCCATTTAGCCAGGTGTGGTGGTGCAGGTCTATAATCCCAGTCGCTGGGAGGCTGAGGCAGAAGGATCTCAAGTTCAAAACCAGCCTCAACAACTTAGTAAGGCCCTAAGCAACCCACTGTGACCCTGTGTCTATAAAATATTTAAAAAGCTGGGGATGGGGCTTAGTGGTTAAGCACCCCTGGCTTCAATCCCCAGTACCAAAGGGGGGAAAAAAGTTATGCCATTTAATTTAGATCCTAATTTACTTTAACTTAAATAAATATGTATATACTATATTGCTTTGTAGGAAACTTTGGAAGTAAGTTTTTCTAAATCAAACTGGTAAAACGAGGAATTTTTCTATGGCAAAATTAAATCTTTTTTTAAAAAAAGAGTAGTTTTGATTGAAAATTCTTATTTGAATTTGCATATGCCAAAAGGGTACAGTAGAATTTGGGTTTGGGAGTAAACTTCCCAGGAATTATTCTTATGAAGAAGTGATTGTTTTTCTCATATATTTTTAACTTCCTTGTATGATACTTACACTAAAACAAATTAATGTACATTTTAAACAAAATGCTTAGAAAAATAATTACAATTTTAAGAAATTAGCCATAGAACCACCCAGAAAACTGAAGCTCTTGGTTCTAGTAATAGTTGACAGTTACTGTTTGCTAAACTATTCAGAAGCAGCAATAAATTGTATATACCAAACTGTTTAGTTTTGAGCCTCAAATTACAGGTAATATAAATCACAGGTTGATCACAAGACCAAAATATTCCATTAGAAGCTCTGTTACAAGGATATTTAAATGTCATCCAATTCATTAAACATCTGAATGTATTTTTTTAAATGTTCATTTTTTTGTTTTAGGTGGTCACAATATCTTTATTTTTATGTGGTGCTGAGGATCGAACACCAGTGCCTCGTGCATGCCAGGCCAGCGCACTACCACTTGAGCCACATCCCCAGCCCCACTGAATGTATTTTTTGAAAATTAATTTTGATAACATAATAGTAAAGAAGTCCTAGTAAATCAAAATACACTATATGGAAAAAGAACTAGAAAATATCTAATTTAAATGACATTCTCTTTACTTTTATATTACTTTCAAAGATCTTGCAGTTTTTTTCCCCATTTTATATTTAGCTTTTCTGTTTTGTATTTGGCACTTAACATTTTGTTTAAATATAAAACTTTAACATTTTGATGTTCTAAGAATTTTTTTAAAAAAAACTATTAAACACATGTTTTGAAAGGAAATCACTTTTAGTTTTGCAAATTGTATTCTTTTAATTTTTCAGGTATGGATTTTCAAACATGCGCTATATTTCTTCACTAATTAGTGGTGTTGGTATTTTCATGATGGGTGCAGGACTCTCTTGGTACCATGGAGTTATGGGATTGCTTCATCCTCAACCAATGGAATCCCTTCTATGGGTAATCCTCTTTTCTTTTCTTCCCTCATTTTTGAAGTAATATGACATAATGACTTAAGCACGGTAGAATGCCTTTGTCATATTGGTATTAAAGAACAGGAATAACATACCTTCTTGATTGTGTGATGTAGGGTAATGTATCTATAGCTATGTTTTTTTTTAGAGTAAGACATCTAAATCTATATAATATTTTGTGATATTAAACAGAAGGATCTCTATATGGAAAGTTTTTTTTAAACTTTTTTTTAGTTATAGATGGACTTTATTTATTTATTTATTTATATGTGTGCTGAGAATCGAACCTAGTGCCTCACATGTAGTAGGCAAGTGCTCTACTACTAAGCCTCAACCTCAGCCCCATAAGGAAAATTTTTAAGCCTGACCTTGTTGATTAGAATCTTTGGCAGTTCTATTAACTTCTTCTGTTTTGAGTTGCTGTTGAAGAACAAACACACCTCTGTTCTCTTTTAGTTTTAAGAATAATCTCATGTCAATAATTAAAATATCCACTCTTATGTTACTAGTCATAAATTGGAACTGCATTTAAAAGTTAAAGCATCTCCTTTTCTCAGTAAGAAGCCTGCCTGCATTGAGGGATTGGAAAGATAGAAGGACAGTCACCTTCTGTATGGCCCTGCCTTTGTCTCCTTCCTTTCTCCTCTTCCCTAAAGGCAGCTCCAAGGTTGTGATAGGAGACAAAAAAGTACTGACACAACAGTTTTATTTTGCTTTGATTTCCCCTGGCCTTTGTAGATGTTTAAAGCTTTCTTTGTCTTTCATGAACATTTCCTGGAGATTACAATGCTTGGCTGCTCTGACTAGCTCCCCTGACAAGCACAAATTTCATAGCACTTCCTCTAACTCAGACATTATTTGAGGTTGCCCAGCACTTGGCAAGAATACCTTTGTTACAGTTTATCTTTTTCCAAAAGAGTCCTATTCAGGGCTATATATCTGGGCCTTATGTTTAGTCTTTTTTTTTTTTTTTTTGTATTGGGGATTGAATTTTGGGGCACTTTACCACTGAGCTTCACCCATGGCCCTTTTTATTTTTTAATTTCAAGACAGGGTCTCACTAAATTGCTGAGGCTGGCTTTGAACCTGTGATCCTCCTGCCTCAGCCTCCTGAATTGCTGGGATTACAGGCATATGCCACTGACCCAGCTAGACATCTTTTAACATGCCTTCTGTGGGAGTGCAAATTTTTCCCCAAACATAATCGCCTACTCCGCTGACACAGCTGACACAGTCTTGCCTTGAGATTTCTTGTTCAAGGGAGCTTCAGACATGCTATCTCCAAACTCCTGGAACACATATCAAGCTTTCTGAGCAACCTCAACAGCTCAACTGCTTGCACTGAAGAAATCTTGACTTTTGATATCCTTAACTTCCAGCTCTTCTTAAATAGTCAAGTGGGTATAGAGCTGGGGTTGGGTGTAGTCTAGAGAATAGAGGTCTCAGATTGGATCTATCTTCTGTGCAAAGACTGGAGGTACTAACAGTACTTCATTCTAGAATGTAGGGGTACTGTAATTTTGTTTTCTGTTTTGGGTCATAGACTAAGATAGAGTCCCACTTAACATCTTATCTATGTAATAACAAGCCTATTAAACATGGTATATAATAGCAAGCCTATTAAACTACGCTTATTTACATTTGTTATTGACTAGTTTCCCACAGTTTTTATTGGTCAGTTTCTTACAATTATACATTTCATATAGTGAAAGTAAACAAACATATATCTCCTCCAAAGATTTGGCCACTTTGTAGATATAGTGCCTCTTTTTTTATTTTTTAGTCGGACACAATATCTTTATTTATTTTATTTTTTATGTGGTGCTAGGGATTGAACCCAGGGCCTCGCATGTGCTAGGCGAGCGCTCTATCAGTGAGCCACAACCCCAGCCCTAATATAGTGCCTCTTAATATCTAATTTGCACATCCTTAGAGATTAATGAGATCAATTTTCAATTGTTTATAAATTTTAAGTTTCTAATAACTTATGTATCTCTGAGTAAACAAACAGGGTTGCATTAGACTATGGCTCTTTGTTAAATAAATAATAGGTTCCACATATCATAAACCAGTTTATTAGAAATTATTTTGAGATCTTTGTCTCTGATATATGCTTTTTCATTTTATTGGGTAATAAGTATGTCTCGAATCAAGAAAAAGGTGAAAAGATTAAAAAGAGTTATTAGGAAGTTTAGCTACTATTTTAATCATAGTAGCAGTAATTAATTTCAAGTTGTCAGTCAGATTCAGTGGAAAGAGCCTGTATCTGTCACTGGGAGGCCTGTGTTCTAGTTCTTATTCTATCATTTTCTTTATACTCAATCAAGTCTCTGAATTTTGGAAAATGCCACTTTTTACAACAGAATTATAAGGGTTTGGGGCAAGGTTTGAAACTTTTAAAACCTCTGTTTCAGGAAAGTGTAGGTGTCTAGAAAGGTATGTTGGAAATTCTATAGGTGTTTGGTTTAAATTTTATTTAAAATTTTTAAGAAAATTTAAGTATGTCCTGGACTGCAAGGAAGTACTGCTACCAAAAGAAATAATTGATTATTTTTTATAACTAATTGCCTTTCTGAAACAGGAGTTTTTTCATACTGGACATTCAGACAAAATCCAGAAGTTATTTGAATACGGGTGTGGATCTTAACTGTGTCTAGGGTCCACAACCCTAGATTTCCAGTGTTTGTGTTTGTTTGTCATTGCCCTTGTTTGAATTGTTTCCTGTCAAAGATCCTTACCATCTAGCTTGGATTTGAATTTTTCTGTTTTAGATATGACAAACTTTATACATGAAAAATTGTGATTCTTGAGTGAAATACTGAATGTATGTTTTAATATTTATTTTCTAGGCATATTGTATTTTAGCAGGATCATTGATATCTGAAGGAGGTATGTGCCATCACAAAGGCTCACTGTACAGTGATATATATTGAGCATTCCATTGCTATAGTTTAAGTTCTGTTGATTAAAGAAAACTGTGGAATAGGAATCTAAGGTTTGTCTATTTTTAGGTAAAGAAGTCTTTATATAATGTACTGTGGTTGTTCCTGTAACGGATGTATCAAGAGGAAAGTGTGTTTTGTTCTTTAGTACTGCATAATGCACAAAACATTGGAATACAATATAAAAATATAATCGTACTAGAGTTTTAAACACTCAGCTTTTAAAATTTCAAAAATACACACCTATAATTGTATTATGACATAGAACTGCTAATACGGAATGAAACTTTTTAATTCACTGTTATACCCCTGAAGCATTGTCATTTTGTATGTGTGGCATTCCCTTTGTCTGGTTTTTAAATTATATAATTTTTAATTGACAGATCATATTTGTATGTACTTATGGGGCCCCTCATCTTTGATGGACTATAAAATGGTGATGATATCACCTGCTTCAAAAGACTGGGAGGATCAAAACTGACTGTGTTGTGTTGCCAGGTGTGGTGGTGCACACCTGTAATCGTAGTGGCTCAGGAGGCTGAGGCATGAGGATCATGAGTTCAAAGCCAGCCTCAGCAATGCAAGACCCTAAGCAATTCAGTGAGACCTTGTCTCTAAATAAAATACAAAATAGGGCTGGGAATGTGGCTCGGGGAATGGGTGCCAATCAGTTCAATCCCCAGTAACAACAACAAAAAAGTGACTCTGCTTAGGTGGTACCTGCCAAATAATGGCTATGCAATAAATTAAGTCTGTTGTTATACTCATTTAATGATTATGGTTTAGAAATATGAGATTCATTTTATTATAATGATTAATTGAAGTCTTGATAATGAGTTCATATAGAACTTTTCCTTGTTGCCAACCTTGCCATTAAAGTGCTGTGCTTATTGTTAATTTATCTTTTGAGAGTTTGGACGTGTGAAACCTCTTCCTTGCTAATATGAGTGCTTTTCTTTCAGCAACACTTCTTGTTGCAGTAAATGAACTTCGTAGGAGTGCTCAGGCCAAAGGAATGTCATTTTATAAATATGGTATGTGTTTTAGAAGCCAGATATCAGTGTCTCCTTGTTTATTTTCTTAAAATGATCTAAAGCTATTGCTTTGTGCCACTTAGATGGATATAAAATATATCTCAGTGTTTTCCCTATGTGACTCTTACTGAATAAATCAGCCATTTGGAAAAATGTGCACTTGGAGCATATGGGTACTTTATGTTTGGATTTGACTTAAGTGAACTATTGCATTTCTATATATGCTTACATAACCTGAAAAAGTAATTTGACTTTATATGGCATTTATTGTTGACATTTAAGCCAAAAAATTATGTTTATATTAAACAGAATTTTTAAAATTATGGTCTGTCATACCTTTTTATCTTACTTTATAGTTTGATTTTAAATAGATGCTTACTAAAATGTCCTCTGATAGTAACAAGTTAGATTTTTTACAAATTTTCTTATCTCTTTCTTCATGATTAAGTAATGGAAAGTCGTGATCCTAGTACAAATGTTATATTATTGGAGGATACTGCAGCAGTCTTGGGAGTGACAATAGCAGCCACTTGCATGGGTCTTACTTCTATAACAGGTAAATATTTCTTAAATTACAGATATATTTATTTGTACTACGTACTTCTCAAATATACGGGATTTTTTCCTTATATCATTGAATAATTTTAAACTAATTGTTAAATATTAATTCCATGCTAACCAGTTATTTATGTAAGATATTTGGGCAGTAAAAGTGTTCAGGTTTCTCTGAGTTGCAAGTTTCTCTAATTTAAAAATAAGGAATCCTTGGGATTGGGATTGTGGCTCAGCGGTAGAGCGCTCGCCTAGCACAGGCGGGACCTGGGTTCGATCCTCAGCACCACCTACAAATAAAAGCATAGTGTTGTGTCCATCTACATCTAAAAATAAATAAATAAATAAATAAAAATAAGGAATCCAGTGCGGTGGCATACTCCTATAATCCCAGTGACTTGGGAGGCCGAGGCAAAAGGATCACAAATTCAAAGCCAGCCTCAGCAACTTAGGTCCTGAGCAACTTTGTGACACCCTATCTCAAAATAGGGATGTGGCTCAGTGCTTAAATATCCCTGGGTTCCATTCCCAGTAGCAAAAAAATAAATTAATAAGGAAAGGTATTAGTAGAAGATTTCTATAATACTCTAAACCCTTGTGGCTATAACTTTACCTATAAAAGTATAAATAACATTTGTCCTAGTAACTTTATAAGTTTATTAAGATAGTATGAGAGAGAACTAAAAAAAAAAAAAAGCCAGTAATTCTAATAAATAGATATTGTGGCTCTTGTTCACTTGTCTTTTCCTGTTCTTAAGTCCAATAGTAAGTGTTGTTGCCTTTATATTTCCTTAATTCTAAGTTGGTTCCATCTTCATTTTGATAGCTAGTTAGGTCTTTTCAAGGGCCAGTACAATACAGGTAAGTCAGAAAAACTATTTTATTTTCTAAAATGAAAGAACCATTTGGTATGAAAGGCTTAATATGTGGAGTTGGAATTCTCTTGGAATGGAGCTTCTTCCATTCTTTCCCCTTTGTTCTTGCAAATAATTTTAGGTGATTGGCTTCCAGTTCTGCAATGTTTCTTGAAGAGGTCTGAAATACAAATTGTTCTTTCTCATTTTGAATGTACCTTTTGAGACTAAAGGAGCATTTTCTTATGTTCACTGTGATCTGAAGTATTTCTGAAAGTGTTGATTTTATATCCCTTTGTTTTTCTGGTCAACCTATAGTTTGGGGTCTTTTTTTTTGAACATAAGTTATTAGTGAAAAATTATTTAAGTTTGGATTTGTAAAGAGCATATTTGATCTTGAGTTCTACAACCCTCAATAGATTATGCTTTATACACTTAGTAGAGATAAGTGAGTGTATTTTTTAAATATTATATTTTGGCTACATGTTAATAAAACTAGTATATAAATTCAGATTTCTAGTGAAATAAATATATTTTATCAAGCATTAAAAGTTAAATATTATTTTGATGACATTTTTTCTCTGGAATAAAAAAGACTTATAATTATAAAAGCCATGTAGGTAAAATTTTTATAAAAATTTAAACTGTAGCTTGGCATTGTGGTGCATGTAATCCCAGCAGCTCAGGAGACTGAGGCAGGAGGATGGCAAGTTCAAGGCCATCCTCAGCAACTTAGTGAAACCCTGTCTTAAAAAATAAAAAAGAGCTGGGGATATGGCTCAGTGGTAGAGCACTATTGAGTTCAATCTCCAATACTGCCAACAAAACAAAACATTGGAGGGCTTGGGGAGACACAAAATGCTGAACCTCACCTTTAGAATTTTTTATTCAGAAGGTCTGGGATGACAGCTGAGAATTTTTATTTCTATCAAATTCTCAAGTGTTACTGATAACCCCTGTTACAGGAACCAAACTTTGAGAACCACTACTTTGTGGTACTAGCTAATTATTATCCTTGGTTGAATAAGATCACCCATATCAAATTCTGTAGTTCTTAATTTTTTCACAGGATTTTGATAGGAAGGAGGCACAAGAAGATTTTATTTCTTTCAGATTTTGATTCCACAACAGTTTTTTTAGAGTACTACCTATATATCTAAAAGAAATTGACTCTTAATTATATTATTATGTATATGGTATGTCTTCTGAAAATACTCTGAACCTTGACCTATATAATGACCAGACACAAGAAACAGGTCCTAAATAATTAAGCTCATAACACTCTTAGGTAATATAAAGCAGGTTGTACTGTTTCCAATTTTGTAGTTTAGTCAAACTATTAGGAGTCATTAAATGAGGTGACTAAAGGAATTGGGAATTAATTTTATATCCCTTTATTTATTAATTGTGATCGTTTGCTCTCTAAAGTCATTGAAATAATAGAAAATGTTAATTCACTGATTTCTTACATGCTTTATTTAGGCAATCCATTGTATGACAGCCTAGGTTCATTGGGTGTGGGCACCTTATTAGGCGTGGTCTCAGCATTCCTCATCTACACCAACACAGAAGCACTCTTGGGACGATCCATACAACCAGAGCAAGTTCAGCGGCTTACTGAACTCCTGGAGAATGACCCATCAGTAAGGTTAGCCTTATTCTAGTAATGTTGTCAGGACTTGTAAAAACATTGAAAGACTGGAATGTTTGGCTCCAAAGGAAGTTTTGGATTCCTAACCTTTGAAATTTTCTAATCTATTACTTTTCAGAGTTATTGTCTTGGAAGGAAGCAAGAACACTTAGTTTCCTTTTAAATTTTGTATTGTCTTTATTAAAATAAGTCATAGGTGATAAAACGAGAATAGAAGTTTTGCAAAGTAGAAAGTTTTGGATCCTTAATGTGGAACCACTTAAAATCAAACCTTTATATTTATATTTACCTTATATTTGTATTGTAATTATAAGTTGAATATATTAAATGTGAAATAGTATTTATTCATGGGGAAATAATTACCAAAGTAAATGTAATTTATATTGGTTTTGAAAATGAACTTTTAATGTATTTAAATTTTTTCCTTATATTCTTTTTATATTTTTATTTATTTAGTTATTTTTTATTGTTATTTCTTTTATAGTGGTAGATACTGAACCCAAGGCCTCACACATTACTAGTCAAGTGGTCTACTAGTGATCTTTCCCCCATTCCCTATCTTTTAAATTGTGTAAAACTAACTAAAGAACTGAAGATTTAGGAGATAACCAGAAGAGTTGTACTGTTTCCAATTTTGTAGTTTAGTCAAACTATTAGGAGTCATTAAATGAGGTGACTAAAGGAATTGGGAATTAATTTTGTATCCCTTTGTTTATTAATTGCAATCGTTTGCTCTCTAAAGTCATTGAAATAATAGAAAATGTTAATTCACTGATTTCTTACATGCTTTATTTAGGCAATCCATTGTATGACAGCCAGGTTCGTTGGGTCTGGGCACCTTATTAGGCGTGGTCTAATAAGGATTTTAATCTTTATTAGAAGAAATATTAGAATTCTCATGGTGTTTTTTAGTGAAATTTAGCAGCAGTGTGGTTTCATAATGAAGTGGAAAACCAAAACTTTAAAATCTTAATTTGGGGGGCTTGAGGTATAGCTCAGTAGTATAGCATTTGCCTAACATTCTTGAGCCCTCATTTCCATTTCCAGTACCACCAGATTTAATTTGTTATCCCCCTGCCCAGTGTCTTAAGATGGTAGGTTAAATTTTTAATTTGATGTTACTTCTTTTTTTAATATAGACATTTCTAGATATAAATTTTCCTTTAAACACTGCTTTTCTGTATCCAGAAATTTTGATAAGTTGCATTGTTTTGATTCATCTCAAAGTAATTTCTTATTTCCCTTTTTTAAAATTGAATTTTTTCTTACTATATGTTTTTTTTGTTTGTTTGTTTTGTTTGTTTTAGGTACTAGGGACTGAACTCAGGGGCACTTAACTACTGAGCCATATCCCGAGCCCTATTTTGTATTTTTCTAAATTTAGAGACAGGGTCTCACTGAGTTGCTTAGCGCTTCACCATTACTGAAGCTGGCTTTGAACTCACAATCCTCCTGCCTCAGCCAAGCTGCTGGGATTCCAGGCATGCACCATTGTGCCTGGCTGTATTTTTATTGTTAATTGACACATAAGAATTATATATGTTTATGGAACACAGTATGATATTTCCTTCTGTGTCTACTACACCTATTAGCTATTTTGAAGTATACAATTAATTGTTGGCAATTACAGATACTCTACTGTGTTATAACATTTGAAATTATTTTGTATCAAACTACACCCCTGTACCAATTGGTCATCCTCTCTCCAACCCTCCCTAATTCTCAGCATTTAGTAATCACTACTGTGTTTCTATAAGATCGACCTTTTTAGTTTCCTTATACAAGTGAGAACATGTGGGTTTTTCTGAGTGTGCTTATTTTACTTATATTCTACTATGTATACATACCACATTTTCTTTGTATAACCATTGATTGATGCCTAAGTTGATTCCATATCTTGACTGTTGTGAACAGTGCTACTATTAGCATGGCAGGTGCTGTAATCTTCAACATACTGCTTTTCCTTTTTGTTTTTATTTTGTTTGGGGGTGATATTTAGGAATGTATTTTTAATTTCTAAGTATGTGTGAGTTTCCCAAATTATCTATTACTGATTTCTAATTTCGTTCAGTTGTCATCAGAGAATATACTTCATAGTATTTCTGTCCTTTTAAGTTTACTGAGGCTTATTTTATGACCTATATATATTCTATCTTGGATCATATTCTATGTGCACTTGAAAAATGAATATATAGATGTTTGTTAGGTTTATTTGGTTTATAGTGTTCAAGACTGTAGTTTTCCTGTTGGTCTTCCTGATTTGTTCTATCCATTAGAAGTAGGGCCTTGAAGTCTCTAGCTATTATTGTTGAATTGTTTGTTTTTTCCTTTATTTCTTTTTTTGTTTCATTTACTTTGGTGCCCTATTGTTTGACATGTATGCATTTATATTTTTCATATATTATTTACAATTAATGTCTAAAAGACTATAAACTGAAAGATTGGCCAATCTGAAAATTTCTGCAAGAATGAAAATCTGTGGATTAAATTATTTGAGAAAATAAAAGTAATCCAGAAAATTCATGTAATTTTTAAAACAGTATAGTAGTTACTTTGCTGTGTGACAAATTAGCTCAAAACTTAATGGTTTAAATAACCTTTATTATCTGTTTCTATGAGTCAGGAATTCAGGCCCTGCTTTTTTGGGTTCTCTACTTCAGACTTTTTCAGACTATAATCAAAGTGTCATGTCCTAGAGAAGGAGCTACTTCTAAGCATATTTAACTTACAATTGTTGGCAAGATTGAGTTCTTTGCCACATGGACCTCCCCAACATGGCAGCTTGCTTAAGCACTGCATGCAGACTGATAAGGCAGTAGGAATTGAATATGAACAAGAAAAAAAGTCACAGATTAGTTAATTGTTGGAAATGACATCTCATCACTTTGCCATATTCTCTTTGTTCGAAGCAAACCACTAGGTATAACCCATATTCAAGGAGAGGGGGATCACACAGGATACAGGAGGTGGGGTTCTGTCATTGGGGAGCATCTCAGAAATACCTGCCCAACTTTCCCATCTGGAATTATATATAAGAACATGAGAAATGTGTTGGGTGCTTTGATGCATGCTTGTAATACCAATGACTCAGGAAGCTGAGACAGGTGAGTCACAAGTTCAAGACTAGCAACTTTAGCAAGACTCTGTCTCAGAAATTTAAGAGGAGAGGATGGGGATGTAGAGTTACCCCCTGGGTTCAATTCCTAGCACTAAGAGAAAAAAAAAAAGGACAACAACAACAACATGGGGGTGGGGGCGGAATCAGAATATATTTACTAGCTACTACTTAAGTTTTAATTAAATAACGAAATGTATTAATACTTTGTGAGGACTGAAGTAGATGTGCCTTTGAAATAAATGAATAAATTACATATTACTTCCTACCAGTCTGGACAAGTTTTATTTTTAACCTGAGATTATATAACTTTATAAATTATTTATCCTTATTTTACCCTAGATAGTTGATAAATACAGCTTCTTTATTTATTTGGATAAAAAATTTTGGACACAATAACTTGCTCAAGATCATTCAGAAATTAGTGTGAAGTGCAAAGTGCTTATAGTCTCACTTAAGCTTCTTCTCTAGTACATCTCTGTGTTCTCAAGATTCACAGTGTTTTGTTATTTCTTATATATCCGGTGAAGAAAAGATATTATGGGATCACAATTGAAAGAAGAAAATTTCTCAACTGTTTTCTAGGAAAGATTTAATTCTTAAGGGTTAGGGCAGGAGGAATGAAAAGTAGTTATACGTGAGCATCCACTTTACTTTCTGAGAGGCAGATGGTGTAATATAAGGACTCCAGGCTTGGATATCTAAAGAGCTAAAGTGTTAGGGAGTCCTATTCTATTAGTTACTAGTTGACTTACCTTGAGCAAGTCACTTATGCCCCTCTGGAACTGTTTCGTCGTCTATAAAATAAAGATATCACCTTACCTATTTTATAAAAGTCATTTATTAAATGCCTACCTTATGTTTAGTACTATATTAAGCATTTTATATATGTGTTAGCTCATTAGTCCCCTCATCAATCCTATGTGGCAGTTATCAGGAGCCCATTCTAAGAATTTTTCTCAGAGTTGTACAAAGACTATTAAAGAAGTTTGTGAATATAAAAGTTATTGGTAGGGCTGGAGTGTACCTCAGTAGTAGAACACTTGCCTAGTATATGCAACATCCTGGTTTAGATCCCCTGCATCCCACATACAGGCAGAAAAGTAATTAGTGTGCTTTCTATGACACCATTATCAGCAACACATTTTTTGTAAATGGTATTAAGGAAATGACTAAATGAATATATGGGACAAAAGGTTTATGAGATAACAGCAACATTTTAGAAAAACAATTTAGAGTTAGTGTTCTTAATACATGAGCTTTACAACTTACATGTATGGAATAATAAAATAATATTTGTTATATTTGTACCATTGTATGCACAAAAAAACTAAACATCTAGTGAAATTTAGTAAGTGATAGTAAATGATACTTAGTGGTGAATTCTCTGAAGCTATCTTAGTCCTTATTCATTATGGTTAGGAAAAAAATCAAGAATTCTAGACTTTTTGCCATTAGAGTATATATGTGTATATGTATATAAATTTGTATGCATTGTTATTGATTGCAGGGCAATTCATGATGTTAAAGCCACAGATCTGGGATTAGGTAAAGTAAGATTTAAGGCAGAAGTAGATTTTGATGGACGAGTTGTTACAAGATCATATTTGGAAAAACAAGATTTTGACCAAATGCTACAAGTAAGTTTATGTGTCTGTAATTTTCTTATATATCCTATGCTTAGAAAACTTAAATTCTAAGTAAATAAAACTTTTTCTGTTATTGATCTTAAACTCACTTCAGCTGTCAACATCTTAGATTCCAAAATTTGACAGAGAGCCTTTTATTTACTATAGAGTAGGTTGGAGGAGACAATAGAAGAGCAGACTTTTGAAGTTATTCATGCTTGCTATATGCCAGGCATTTTAGCTGTTTTATCTCATTTACTCTTAACCCTGAGAGGTAAAGAAATAACATTTTCATTTTAAAGTATAGATAAATTAAGACAGATTAACTAACTTGCCTGAAGTTTCAGAGTCTTGTTTATGAATTTAGATCTCTCAAACTCCAGAATGTGTGCTTTTTTCTTTATATTAAGCAGTCTCCTCCCACTTTTATTTGAATTTTGCTTTCCATGCTTTGGTTACCCATAGTCAATCACGATTCAAAAATATTAAATGGAAAATAACGGAAATAAACCGTTCATAAACATTAAATTGCTTTTCTGAGAAGTGATGAAATCTTGTGCTCTCCTCCTCGGACATGAATCGTCTCTATATCCAGCATATCCTTGCTATCCATGCTGCCCACCCCCACTTTGGCAGTTGAGAAGGAAGGAGGGGGCCACATTCACATAATTTTTATTACAGTATGTTGTTACAGTTGTTCTATTTCATTGTTAATTTTTGTTGTTACTCTTTTATTGTGCCTAATTTATAAATTGAACTTTATCTTAGGTGTGTGTGTGTGTGTATATATAATTATATAGTTTTATGTATCTCCTGGGATCTTGAATTTATCACTGTAAAAAGGGGACTGCTGTAGTTTAAAAGATAATTTACAGAATATAATGAACAGTGTAGATTATCACCACGTGCCTTTGTCAGTTGTTAATATTTTGCTATATGGGTTGAGTGTCCCATCTCAAATATTTCAGATTTCAGAAATGTTTCATATTTTAGAGTTGTTTTTTGTTTGTTTTTAAGATCATTTGCATAGACTTGGATCAAACATCCCTAATGTGAAAATCTGAATTGCCTTTTTGTCATCACTTAAAATGTCAAAGCATTTTGGATTTTTGGACTGGGGGGCTCAACCTGTACTGTTAGAAGATCTTAAAAACAGAATAAAGCATTACAAAACCAGCTCAAGCTGGTTTCTCTTCCTAAATCACATTCTCCTTCCTTCATTCCTAGAATTAATTATTATGATGAATTTGGTACCTACCATTTCCATTCATATTTTTATATTTGTCAGCATGTTTTAGCATAATATAAAGCAACATTTTGGATGTTTAAAATGATTTCATATTGTATGTGTATCTCTAAAATTTGCTTAACAGCATGTTGTTATATAATATGCTATATGAATATGCTGCAATTTATGTGTCCTATCTGCAGTCGATAGGCATTATATTCTTTTCAGTGTTAAATTATTTTTAAAAATTCCATGATGGCATTCTCATACATGCTTTGTACTTTATATATGCTTAAATTTCTTTAGGCTAGTATATAGATAGCTAGGTTTAAAATAGGTGAGGGCCACTGAGCATACATTCTTGTCTTCAACTTCCAAAGGTATTGCCAAATTTTTCTCCAAAGTATGTCGATTCGATTCCCACCATCAGCATACCAACATTTCTGTTGCTTCACATTCTTACTAGATTATATTGACAGAATTATCTTTCTTCAGTTTGTCTGTACATTCTAGGAGTTTGTACATTCTAGGAGGGAGGCTATCAGGGTTTGAACTCAGGGCCACTTGACCACTGAGCCACATCCCAGCCCTATTTTTTGTATTTTTTTTCTTTTTTTATTAGTTGCTTAAGACAATACAATGATCTTGACATATCATACATTTGATTCAAATAGGGTATGAATTCTCATTTTTCCACGTGTACAAATTGCAGGATCACATTGTTTACACATCCATGTTTATACGTACAGCAATCCTAGTGTCAGTTGTATTCTGCTGCCTTCCCTATCCCCCCTCCCCTTCCCTCCCATCACTATTCTCTACCCATTCTACTGTGACACTTATCTCTCTCTCTCTCTTTTTTTTTTCTTCCCTTCCCCCTCACACCATCGTATATGTATTTTGTGAACCCATGAGGGTCTCCTTCAGTCTTCCGTGCAATTCCCCTTCTCCCTCCCTTTCCCTCCCACCTATTTTTTGTGTTTTAGAGACATGGTTTCACTGAGTTGCTTGGCACTTCACTTTTGCTAAGTCTGTCTTTAACTCACCATCCTCGTGCCTCAGCCTCCTGAGCTGCTAGGATTACAGGAGTGTGCCACTGCGCCCAGCTATTATAGTACTCTTTTCCTTTGTGCTTTTTATCTTGTATGATGAAGCCTTCATTATCCCATTTTCACAAAAATACTCTCTTCTTCTAAAAGGTTTATGGACTTCCATCCTTAGGTCTTTAGTCTAATTGGAGTTGTTTATTTAAAGACCTGAGGTAGAAATTGTCTTAACCCTGATTTGTGAATACTCTTTTATATTTTATAGCTCTTTAGTATTTTATAGAGCTACCTCTGTGTAGCATTGTACTCAATCTTCTTGAACTGAGTTTCTTGGGAAATAGGTGATCCATTGCCTGTATCCTAAAGTTTTTAAACTTTTTATTTAACTTATCAGTGTTTGTCATAAATTTCTAAAAGGAATTATCAGTGTACCACTGTGATTTTTTTAAATTTTATTTTGTTTTTCTGCTTTTATTTTCTTTACAGGAAATTCAAGAAGTGAAAACTCCTGAAGAGCTAGAGACCTTTATGCTTAAACATGGAGAAAATATTATTGATACATTAGGAGCTGAAGTAGATAGACTTGAGAAGGAACTGAAAGTAAGATATATACATTCATTATAAAAATATCATATTGAGGGAGCTGGGGATGTGGCTCAAGTGGTAGCATGCTCGCCTAGCATGTGTGAAGCACTGGGTTCGATTCTCAGAAACAAAATAAAGATATTGTGTTCACCTATAACTAAAAAATAAATATAAAAAAAGTATTGTATTGAGGGCTGAAGGTTGTGGTTCAGAGGTAGAGTGCTCGCCTAGCATGCATGAGACACTGGGTTTGACCCTCAGCACCACATAAAGTAAAATAAAGACATTGTGTCTACCTATAACTAAAAAATAAATATTAAAAAATATTATATTGATAATGGCAACTATTTTTTGAGTATTCACTCTGGGCTAGATATATCACATGCACACTCTTAAACTCCCAGAAACCCCATAATGGTTAGCTATTTATAGGCAAAATGATTAGGTTAGACAAATTGGATAACTGACCTGAGGAAGTAGGGGAATTACGATTTGAACCTGTTATTCAGTTCCAAATACTGTATTTCTAACGACTGTTCTGTTTGCTTAGTTTCTAAAATAGCAAAATTGTTTGTTTCTTTTTCTTTCTTTCTTTTTTTTTTGGTGCTGGGGATCAAACCCAGGGCCTTGTACATGCAAGGCAAGCACTCTACCAACTGAGCTATATCCCTAGCCCGGTTTTTTGTTTCTTTTTAAATAAGCATTTTGAAAGTTCCTAAAGAAAGATAAAAGGGAAACTTTTGAATGTGATCAAAAGTTAAAACAAATAAAATATGACCTTAAAAATACACATTTAGGCGGGACTAGGGATATAACTCAATTGATAGGGTGCTTGCCTCACATGCCCAAGACCCTGGATTCAATCCCCAGCACCACCAAAAAACAAAACAAAACAAAAATTTACACATATAGGGGTTGAGGTTGTGGCTCAGTGGTAGAGCATGTGTGCCTAGCATGTGTGAGGCACTGGGTTCGAGCCTCAGCACTTCATAAAAAATAAAATAAAGGTATTGTTTCCATCTACAATTAAAAAAAAATTTTAAAATATACAGACACCTTGATTTTAGTCCACCTGATTTTTTTGATGTTTATTTGTATTAATTTGGAGATTTTAGTTGTGTTGCTGAACTATCTGATCAGGTTGCCTTTAAAAATGTCTCTGTTCTTAAATTGCCATTTATTGACATTTGAGTTCTGTTTGTTCACAGTGCATAAACACTTGTAAATGACCTTTAATATATAATATAGTTGGTGAAGGCAGTGCATTCTTCAGTTGATGTTGACCATTCTTTAGTTTTGTTAAAAATTTGAAGGGAAAAAAAACTACTCTGCTTTACTATCTTTGTGAATTTAGATAAATGATTACATTAATAGTAAAGAAGACTTTGTTAATATTGTTGGCATTATAGTTCACAAACTTACCTGATATAATTTTTGGAGTTTTTAAATGAGCATTTCTCAAATATTTTGGTCTTAGGACTCTTTTTATTCTTTTTTTTTTTTCTAATTTTTATTGTTGGTTGTTCAAAACATTACAAAGTTCTTGTCTTTTTATTCTTAAAAATTATTGAGAATCCAATATCTTTTATTTGTTTGAGTTATAGTTACTGATATTTTCAAATCACACATAAAACTGAGAAATTTAATAATATTTATCCATTCCTTTCTACATAAGCATATGTTACTATATATAATATTTTAATGAAAAATAATTTTTCCAAAATGGGAAGAAAAATAGTTAAAGGAGTGATATTATTTTACATTTTTTAAAAAACTCCCTTATACCTACCAGTATAAGATAGAGTTCCGTATCTGCCTCTGCATTTAATGTGTAGTGATTTGATTATTTTGGTTGAAGAACATGAAGAAAAGGGAGGAATATTCTTACAGTCTCTTAACACAATTCGAATATTATCTTTTGATGCTATATCCAAATCTGGCAGCCAGTAAGGAATCTGAAACCTTATCAGTGAACTTCTCACAAGTTACTTGTGCAGTTAGGGGACACTTTCTATAAAGACTGCCCTTGCTTCCAAATTCCAATTGTGAGTTTTGAGAGTGCCAGGACTACCCAAAGGTCTGATAATTCACTTAAAGGACTCCCAGAACTCATTGAATGGTGTAATTCTCATAGTTATGGGGTTCGTTGTGGTGGTGATGGTGGTAGTAGTTGTACTAGGGATAGAATCCATGGCCTGTCGTATGCTTGGCAAACACTCTATCCCTGATTTACATCCACATCCCCATTGTTAGGGTTTAATGTAGGGAAAGAATACATATAAAATTAGTCAAGGGAAGAAGGACATAGGATAGAGATCCAGGAAAGTTCCAAAAGTTGGAGCTTCAGTTGTCCCTTTCCTGTTGAGTCATGGACATTACTTTCCTGGCAATGGAATGTGATGGTAGCATGGGGTGTTGCCAACTAGGGAAGCTCATCTGAGACTTGATGTCTATAGGTTTCATTGGGGACCATGGTTGACTGCTTGAGTAAACCCTTTGACTCCTACTCTACCAGAAGTAGTAGATAACTGTGGGACCAAAACTCCTCGTCATAAGTCTCATAGTTAGACTACAAAGTGGCCAACACTCTCCAGATAAACAAAGACACTCTTAGGACATTTCATGGGTTTAGAAACCACCTCCCAATGATTGAAAGGGAAAAAAAAAAAAAAAAAAACAGTTCTTTTTTTTAGGTAAGATTAATTCTCTAGTATGCATTGCTATGCTATGCTAATATCTATCAGTTTGTCTTTGTATTCTGAATATATCTTTTACCTGTGCATGATTCTATAACATAAATTGGTATACTGACTTATGCAGATCCTTTGAATGGTGTTCACGTTATTTTTTAAAAATCAGTTTATTCAGCTCACAACTGAATAAATCACAGGAGTACTTTCTTGTGATATTGTACCTCAGTATGATATAGGGCTTTATACTTCTCAATTTTTTTTTTTTTTGCTCATTTTGGGCTTAAATCTGTTAATAAATAAGCAGCCTCATATACAAATGAAGTGTATGAGTACCTTTTGAGGTGTTAGGAATGTCTTCTCTGCACTTTCCCCACTCACAATTTCATGTGCACAAAAATATACATGTGTACATACACAGGCAGTCTTTCTGAGATGCTAATGAATAAAATCCCAGGAGTAGTAGACTGCTTTTTTGTTGTTGTTCTAATTAGTTATACATGATAACAGAATGCATTTTGATTCATTGTACACAAATGGAGCACAGCTTTTCATTTTTCTGGTTGTATGTGATGTAAGAGTCATACCACATGTGCAGTCATACATGTACTTAGGGTAATGATGTTCACCTCATTCCACCATCGTTCCTGTCCTTTCCCTCCCTCCCCTTTGCCCAATCAAAGTTCCTCCATTCTCCCCACACTGCTTTCCCCCCACATTATAGATCAGCATTCACTTATCAGAGAGAACATTCAGCCTTTGTTTTTTGGGATTGGCTTACATCACTTAGCATGATATTCTCCCAGTTCCATCCTGCAAATGCCATAATTTTATTCTCTTTAAATGCTCAGTAATATTCCATTGTGATTATGTGCCACAGTTTCTTAATCCATTCATTTAAATCAATGGATGTGTAACTGATGTGATTCTGCAATCTGTATACGGGGTAAAAATGGGAGTTCATAACCCACTTGAATCAAAGTGTGAAATATGATATATCAAGAACTATGTAATGTTTTGAACAACCAACAATAAAAATTTAAAAAAAAAGGTTGGTTCCACAGTTTACCTATTGTGAATTGAGCTGCTATGAACATTGATATGGCTGTGTCACTATAGTATGCTGATTTTAAGTCCTTTGGGTATAGACTGAGAAGTGGGATAGCTGGTTCAAATGGTAGTTCCATTCCTAGTCTTCTAAGAAATCTCCATACTGCTTTCTATAGTGATTGCACCAATTTGCAGTGCCACCAGCAATGTATGAGTGTACCTTTTTCTCCACATCCTCGCCAACACTTATTGTTGCTTGTATTCTTGATAATTGTTACTCTGACTGGAGTGAGATGAAATCTTAGAGTAATTTTGATTTGCATTTCTGTAATAACTAGAGAAGTTGAACATTTTTTCATATATTTGTTGATTGGTTGTATATCTTCTGAGAAGTGTCTGTTCAGTTCTTTAGCCCATTTATTGATTGAGTTATTTATTTTTTTGGTGTTAAGGTTTTTGAGTTCTTTATATATCCTGGAGATCAGTGCTGTATCTGATGTGCATGTAGTAAATATGTTCTCCCATTCTGTGGTCACTCTCTTCACATTATTTATTGTTTCCTTTGATGAAATATACTTCTCCATTTTATCACAGTATTTTTTTAAATTTTTTTAATGTGCTGAGGACTGAACCCAGTGCCTCACACACATGTGAGGCAAGCACTCTACCACTGAGTCACAACCCCAGCCCTGTATCACAGTATTTTTAAAAGTGGACTGTCTAGTGAGGTTTAATAAAATTGACACATTTTACTAGTTTATGAGGGGTATTTTAAAGTGAAAGTGGGTTTTTTTCCCCTTGAGTATGTAGCAGTAAAGGAACACATTAACAACTAATACAGTTCCATTTGCCTTGAACTGTGCAAAGGTGCCAGTGGTTTTACCCACCATTGTTTTTATGCCATCATAGGAAATAGCAGCATCTTAGTTATGTATTATTTACTATGAAAAGTTTTAAAAATTTATTTAGTATTAAGTGTACACAAAATCTTTTATTTATATGTGGTGCTGAGGAACGAACCCAGTACCTCATGGATGCCAGGCAAATGCTCTACCACTGAGCCATAACCCCAGCCCCAAGTTCTAGAATTTTAAGCCAAAAATATCACCTATTCTAAAACTCATTGAAATTACTCAAGAGATGGCTAATGGCTATGCAGAATTATAGTATTAAAAAGAAGTATTCCTAAAGTTCAAACATTGAGCTTCAGTTGTCCCCTTTCCATGGAGTCAAAAGTAACTATTAATTAGTAATTTGTTAATTATTCAATAACATTAAGTAATTCAACAGTAATTACAAACTAAAATTAGAAGAACACCATGAGGGGGCTGGGGATGTGGCTCAAGCGGTAGCACGCTCGCCTGGCATGCGTGCAGCCCGGGTTCGATCCTCAGCACCACATACAAACAAAGATGTTGTGTCTGCCGAAAACTAAAAAATAAATATTAAAAAATCTCTCTCTCTCTCTCTCTCTCTCTCTCTCTCTCTCTCTTTAAAAAAAAGAAGAACACCATGAGATATTTAAAAATGAGGGACTATCCAATATATAAAATTTTAGTTTTTGAAAGAAAATCAGTTTATTTTCACGAGTACAAAGAATTCTATTCATGTACTCCTTTTTTTTGGCTTAAAATTCTAGAACTTGGAGCTGGGGTTATGGCTCAGTGGTAGAGCATTTGCCTGGCATCCATGAGGTACTGGGTTCGTTCCTCAGCACCACATATAAATAAAAGATTTTGTGTACACTTAATACTAAAAAAAATTTTTAAATTCTAGAACTTGCCTAATTTTATATAAAGATATTAAAAATAATAAAATCTAATTATAAATTCTGATACTATAAAGTGGAAGTTACAAAATTTTTATAAAATTGTAAAAAGTATCAATTTGTAAAATATTATTTTGAAGTTTTTTGAACCATCTGTTTTAATTTTTTTCCTTTTGTTCTACCTTTGTGTTTTAGTGTGTGGGTTGACCTGTCTTCCCATCCCTTCATGAAGTTTTTTATATTTGAAATGATTTTTTTTCCTGCAAGGGAGATGAAACAATTCCATTGGAATTAATTCAGTGGGAGACTGCCATAACATTTGTAAATTCCTTTAAGTAATGTTTCAGTTAAATGCTCTGCTCTTTATCTGTGCTCTTCTAGTTGCATTCTCCTAACGGCATTTTCTTGACTTCAGCCTACAGCATTGCAAATAAAATCACACGATTTGGTTTTTATCTCTGTATGAGTTGTTGAAATAAAATCTGTCTGTGATCAGTAAAATGGTCCAGTTCACATTGAGCAGTATGTGAGACATAGTAGTTCCAAAAGTATTTATTGAATAAAAGAAAATTTTAAGTGGGGCACTAATTATTGATTCGTTAGTTCTGTGTAACAAATAGCAGTTCTACTATGCCCGTGATGTCTTGTTATAAAGTAAACATTGAATTTTCAGGATATTAATACTTTTTCTTTTATGCATTCATTCAGCAAATGTGTGTGCATACATTTTGCATTGTGCACATATTTTTTTTACAAATGTTGTTAGTTTTCTATCTGAAACCTATTTTAAAAATTAGAGAAAATTAACCTTGGGGTTCTTTTCCTTGAGATAAGATTTTTTATCACAGTGATTTTAAATAGAATAATACCATATTTCTCAAGAACAGCTAAATATTTGATGTCATACTGGGATAGGTAAGGGTTTCTTTTTTTTTAAGAGAAAAAAATAAAAAAATTTTATTCTATTTAAGAAGTTCTGGAGACGGAATAGTGTTAGGTAAAAAAAAAAAAAAATTGAGAACAAAACTGTTCTCTGTGTTTGGGTAGCCCTGACCACTCTCACCCTAGGATCCAAGAAGAAATTACCCCCAGGCACACTTGAACAAAACTTAGTTACAAGAAAAATTCTTGTGTACAGTTTTGTTTTTTTTTTTTTTTTTTTATTTTGTTTTTTTATTTTTTAGTGGACTTTTTTTTTATGTGGTGCTGAGAATCAAACCCAGTGCCTTACACATGCTAGGCAAGTGCTCTACCACTGAGCCACAACTCCAGCCCTCTTGTGTACAATTAATAAAATGCTGTGGCAGAGCTAAACTCTAGTGTTTACACCAGATTTCAGTTTTTATAACTTAATTCCTTTAGGATAAGTAATACACGTGGCCCCAGGATATTAGTTTTTAAACTAGAAGTTATTAATCCTGACTGATCATTGGGATCACTTAGAGCAGGTTTTTTTTTTTCCCGCTAATTTAGTTTTACAGTTTTTATCAAATAATGCCCAAAGTTCATAGTCAAACAGAACTGAGAAGCTTGTAACAAAGATAAGAATCACCTGCCTCATTCTGCTTATTCCTTAATTCTACTCTCTGAGATGGCTGTTTTTAATATTTGTAGTATTTCTTTTTGTTTATATGCCATATTTCTATGTAAATCTTATACTGCTTCTCCTGATTTAACATTATTTATTTCCTCTTTGCTGGGTATAGCTTTTATATACTCCTTTTATATACTCCTGTACATCTTCTAGTCTAATTGGGGGACATTATCCCCCAAATAGAGTTAGATATGTCCTTCCTTTATATACCCTTAGTAAAAAGAAGCCCAAAACCTTTACTTTACTCTGTAGTAGCAGAGTATTAACTTGCCTGCTTACTTATCCAGATCCCTTACTAAACATAAATCTATTGAAGACAAATACTGTTTTTTGTTATAGAATTGAAATTCCTTAATCTAGCATATGGTAAAATTTAACAATCTGGTTGCTGCCTGTCTTTTTAGCCCTTCTTGTAGTCTCTGTGCCAACTCCACCATAGTGCCACAATCTACTTTCTGGGCTCTCTTCCTTTGCTCATACAATTTTTTTTCCTACCCAAACACTCTTACTCATCTCTCTAGAAGACTTACCACATTCGTGTCTAACTTAGATTATTATGTCTTCAGTTAAATCTTTCTGGATTGCATGAGCAAAAATAACTGCACTCTCATTTTTATTCCTAGTGTTTAGTATACTGTAATAGGAGACTGTATTAAGGCTTGAAATCTATCCCCATTATATCATTTACTAAGAATTTGACCTTACATTAGTTAATTTCTTCAAACTTCAGTTTTTCTAGGCATAAGATGGAAATAATAATAATGTTATGATAAGGATTTTAGAATACACACATCTGTACATAAAACCTGTAGCACAGTACTGAAATGAATAAGTGCTCACTAAACATTAAATGTTATTCTGTAATACTTTATATCATAGGTGAGAATTGCTTCACTTATCTTCATGGCTGACCTAAGTCCTTTAGGGTCAATATCAGTCTTATTTAATGATCATAGCTTCACTTTCTAGCATAGTACCTGCCCCAAGACTAAACGGATTGGTATTGACATCCATCAAATGAGTGGTTATGAATTCATTGTTTCTTATTACAATTGTTTTGCAGTGATTTTCGTTTTTATCACAAAAGACAGCATATTTCTAATGCTTTGGCAATGCTTGGCACATACAAGATCCTTAATGCATTTTGCATTTCTTAAGACATGAACAGACTCAGGGTGGTAGAACCATTTACTGTACTGTTTGTAGTGTGTCTGTTCACCTCTTTGCCTTTTTCCTTATGCAAATATTTCTCTGGTTAGTATGCTATAGTAAAATAGTTTGATCAAATGTTTCCAGTAGCTCTAGTGATCAAAAGAAATTTTTTTAAAATAGAGGTTTTATTTTACTGAATAATGTGATAATTTTTCTTTCCAGAAACGAAATCCTGAAGTTCGGCATGTAGATTTGGAGATACTTTAACCTTGATGGGGTCTTGGAAATGAGCTTGTCAAGCCATTCTACAAAGCACGTTTTCCTGCTTCTTCCCATACTAAAGGAGTCAGCGCCATTCAGAAGCCATTTCCTTTTTCAAGACAGAGGAAATATTTTATGTAAAGAGCAATTGAACAGGCCACAGAACTAAAACTTCTTTCTTCTAATCATGTTTTTTGTGCTTCAGTAGGGGACACTTTGGTTATTTCAGTTGTTCATAATTTCATTTTAGCCTGTCAGTGTGTATTATACCTTGCAATCATGTTTTCTTTCTTCACATTGGTAAAAAATAAGTGGCATCCATAGGATTATAACTTTTAATTTTGTTCCTACTGAAGATTTTACTCCATCAAAATCTGCCAATCTTGACTATTCTGGCTAAATTTGGTTCAGGGTTTATAAACAGTCACTCTCTTTCAAAGTCTGTCTTTCCTAATACAATGTAGAAATTATTTCTTTCTACGCACCTTGTTATTTTGACCTGAGCATTGAGAAGAGTCCTTCTTTCCTAACCTAAACTCTTTATCCAGATATTCATTCCAGAAGTGGTTTAGTTATTACTGAATTAAGTGAAGACATTTCAGTACTCTTTTATATCATAGAAGTTGCCATTTTGTAAAAATTTCTCATTTCTCTTTTTTTCCCTTATTTGGTTTAATTTTTCTAAAGTTAAGAGATATAAAGTAATCCTAAACATTTCCATGGGTCAGTGTAATGGTTGTTTCTTTTCTTTTCTCTCTTTTTTTCTTTCTTTTTTTTTGGGGGGGGGGTGGGATAAACCGGCTTCAGTACTGTAATGTTTATTTTCTGGGAGATAATGCATTTATAAGCATTTTAATATTCTGCAAAATGAACTAGAAATATTTATAATTTTACAGACAGGACAGCATTTCATTTTTAATTTATTTAAATGGAGGCACTACTTATGTAAATTTGAACTGTGGGATATTTCTTGCTTTGAGAGAGAAGTAAATCTCTTACACTGAAACTTATGTCATGATTTTGTATCATATGGTAGTCGTCAGTGTATCTGTGAGTTTCTTGCAGTTACAAGTGGGCATTCAGCATAATATATTGGGCTATAACATATTATTGTAAGTAAATAGTTTTCTAATGACCATAAAGTATCAAGGTGAAGAAAACATGTAATTCAAGTAATTAAAAATTTTAGTGAAAAACTACAGCTGTCTCCATCAAAACAAGTCATATGCACTTTAAAATGTCCAGGTAACAGTGAGCATTGTTCATGCCAGAATGGTGGCTACTGGTCTTTGCTGAGTGAGACCTGCAGACCTAACTACCTGTGTGAGGTCAGGGTCTTAAAGCTAATATGGAAGTTTATAAATTATAGCAAATTGTAATCCTGGAAACAAAAAATAAATCTTTGACTAAAGGGTTTGTTTTGGTAATTTTTAATCTAGTACTGTCATTTACTGGAAGATTGTGAGAATTGACATTGTACTTCTTTTGGTAATGCTCTACATTTTAATAAGGTAACAATTCAGTTTTATTTTAATATATAAAATCATTGAGCTGGGGATGTAGCTCAGTAGTCAAGTGCTTGCCTAGCATGCATAAGGCCCTTGGTTCAGTTCCCAGCACTAGAAAAAATAAATAAACACACACACACATATATTTCCATATATCCAACATTTATCATTTGATTATCTGTTCTTATACTTTGATTCCTCATCCCTAGTTTTTTTAATCTTTATTATTTACCTGTTATGATTACCATGCTATACATTCTGCCTTCTTTCTCCATCCCCTTTCCCACCTGCCATTTGTTACTATATGTCATTGCTACATGGGATAGTCCAAATTACATACAACTTCCTACAAGTAAAATTACTCTTAGGTTTTTCACAGATAAGAATAATTAACTTGTTTTTTAAGAGACTATCAAAGTTGATGCTCAGAAGTTATTCCAATTTTTTTTTTTAAGAATTCTCTAGAAAAGGCCAATTCCTACTATGTCTTCAGATTTTCTAAACTGATTTTGGTTGAGGTCATACTATTCTTAAGTAATTGAAAACTTATGTTGCTGTTTTTTTCTACTTCTAATGTTTTAAAGTTTGTTTACATAAATTTGACACAAAGGAGTACAAATGTCTAGAAATTTTGAGGATTGCTGTGAAATCAGGAAATGTGTTTTATCCTTTTTTTTCTTTTTTCCTTTAAACTAGAGTCACATTGCAAATTTAAAACCAGGGGATTTGGGGCCTCTTTCTTTAAGACAATATCTTGTTTTACCAATCTCTTGTTTCTGTCTTTTAAGTCTTCCTCTGATCCTCCATTGCATTTGAACATTTAGTGTATAATTTTTTTTTTTTTTAGTTGGAAACATTTCTTTATTTTATATTTATGTGATGCTGAGGATCGAACTCAGTGCCTCACACATTCTAGGCAAGCGCTCTACCTCTAAGCCACAATCCCAGCTCTAAATTTTTTTTTAAACTTTTTTAGGTACCAGGGGATTGAACTCAGGGGCACTCAACCACTGAGCCCCATCCCCAGCCCATTTTGTATTTTATTTAGAGCCAGGTTCTCATGAGCCACTGGGATTACAGATATGTGCCTTAAGTATATGAATTTTAATGTTTTCAAGGGAAATGTTCTTTGTTGGAGAATAATTACAGAATTAATGTTGGACAGAATGGAGGAACAGTCAAGGACCCAAGTTGTGATATATCTGTTTTCAGCTTTGGCTATTAATGGATCTCTAGCTAACTAGACATAGCAGCCCCAAACTTTCTTTATAAGTACATTTTCAGATTATGGCCATGGGAAGATAAGAAGTGAGGACCTATTTTTAAGTGGAACATCTTGGTGGTCATTAGCATTCAATTTCAGAGAGCTATGTTCTGGACATGTACTAAGGAATCTGTGAGAATCAGACTGGAGATTTTTTTTAATTTTTCAAAAACAAAATCTTTGAACACACATACATACACACACAGACTCTCTCTCATTTGCCCCAAATCACCCAAAGTAACAAAATGTCATAAGTCAGGTTTTTCAACATACGGTTTTCACTGTTCTCATAATTATCTCATAATTTGGATAATGCTTTTGCTAAAATTACACCTTCTAAAGAAAGGCTTATGTTTTAAATCTGATAACTTTTGAGGTAGAATGCTGGGAACTAGAGAAAATTGCAAAGGCATTTGGAATTTATATTATCTTCTTAGATTGCATTTGTCAAGCCTTGGCAGCATTTCTTTTAAATGTGATGACCCCCAATTTGCCAAACTGTCAGGAGTCAGTGAAGCAAGGAATTGAAGGTAAAATGTTGATTCAAAGATTGTCTCCCCTAAATCCCTCATCCCTGCTTCAAAATGGAACTTTGGAAGGCATTTATAAAGAAGATTGGTCTGACAGCCTTTATATTTGCATTTTTTACTTGCATCCCTAGACTCGGTTTTATGGTAAAAGAAATTTTTCATTTCTATTACATTATAATTCATCTGTCTGATTTCATTGGCAGATTAAGATGGTACTGGTCCCTCAGGATGCTTTTTTTCCTTAATAAAACATCATATGTAAATAAGAACAACTCAGTAATTTAGGACACTTTCCCCCCTGCCCCCCATAAATGAAGATTTGTTAAACATAGATGTTTCTTTACCTCATGTACTAAGAATTAAACTGTATTATATTGTACATTTTACCCTAAAACTCATGCCTATGTTTTTTGAACAGATTTTTTTTATTCAGTATGCTTGTTAATTTGTAAGGTTTTCCTGGTTTTTCGAAACTACACTTTAATTATTAATATACTCTATGATGTCATATGTTTGGTAAAATACAAATCCAAAAAGTTATATCCCTTAGTGATATGTATTGTGCAATTTGACAAAATTAGATTGCTTAATATTTTAATTAAGCTGTGTGTATATGTAACCAGAGATCAATCCAGAGCCTTGCATTCTAAGCATGTGTTCTACCACTGAGCTACACCCCCAGCCCACAAAGCTATTTCTTCTGAGATGTGTTTAATATCTTATATTTAAATAAAAACACCAAAAGGTACATCCTAGAGCCAGCCTATACTGCAGTTCAAGTTGAATTATATACTAATCCTATAGGAATTCCAACTATATTTTTTTCCCAGAGAAACTAAACAAGAGTAATTATTCAAAGTAATTTGGCATTTGGGGAGGGTATAATTCCCTCTTTATATTAAAAAATCTATTGAAAATAGAAGCAAAAGAGTTTAGAATTTGCCTAGCCAAATACAGAATCCTTTGTATTCAAGTATCTACAGAAGCTTTAAAATAAGAGTTAAAAGTAAAAACACACCTGTTTGTATTAAGATAGTTACCAATAGGATAATTTAAGCTCTTTATGCCAGGTCCTGTTTTATGTGTACCAACACTTTTAATCCTCACAAAGAGCCAGTGAAGGGCTGTTATTCACATTTTTGCAAATGAGGAAACAGATAAAGTAGTTAGTGTCTGAGGCTACTCAGCTGTTAAGGGACAAGTCAGGATTTGAATTCAGTGTGGTTCTCACTCAAAGCATATGAAATGAAATGTTAATAGAAGGTAAGGCATTGTCAGTCATTTAAGAATTATTTATAGGCCATCCTAGAGACCATAGGCTAAAGATTATATTTAGTTCAATTGTCAGTCATTGATTTGAACCAGGAAGAAAAAAAAATTAAGGAAAAATGTGGAATAGCATTAATCGAAAAATTTTGCAGTTTTGTGATGCTAAGGATTGATTTCGGGGCCTCACACATGCTGCTCACTGAGCTACACCCACAACCCCAAAATTTTAAAAAATAAAATTGTATAGATAAAACATTCATGATTCAAAATTAAGATTCTTCTCACATTGTCCCAACTCTGACCCCAGCTACCCATTTTTTTACCTAATAACAACTGATATTGTAATTTTGTGATGTATCCCTACAGATATTCGACATCAATATTCTCACACACGTTTGTTACGTATATTTCCCCTCTTCTATGAATATGGCAAAATACTGCATACATTAATAAATTTCATAATTTACCTTTCAGTGTTGGGGATCAAACTCAGGGCCTCATGCTTGGGAGGCAAGTGCTCTCCACTGAGCAAAATCTCTAATCTCTGTCTCATAATTCAAAAAGTACACAATTTCCGGAGTTTTGCATTCACTTAAAATTACTAAATATTTAAGAAGATGTACATTATAGTGTTATGCTTTGCCGCTATTAATGTTGGGCTATATTAAATAAAAATCCACTTCTTTAGTTGCATTAACCATATTTTCATATGCTCACCCATGGCTAGGGTCTACTATGTTGGACTTTGCAGATAAGAGAACATTTCTGTTCTCTATTGAGGACTATTTTGATGTGGTAGATTAAAATAATACTAATCTAATATTTGAGATCATCTTTATAGTGTCCAAAAAATAGTGCCCAGATTTTTGTTACTGAAGACAAGGAAAGAAATTATAGTTTAGCTCTTCAGAAATGTATTGATATAAATAATTAGTACTTGGGCTTTAACTTAAGGTTACCAGCTGGTTAGTAAAAAGTAAATTTCTCATCTTGAAGTGTTTGAATGTGACTTCATCTCTCATAATCAACATACCAAATATTAAGAAAGAAGTCAATTCTTTTTTTTTTAAAGAGAGAGTGGGGGAGAGAGAGAGAATTTTTTAATATTTAATTTTTAGTTCTCGGCAGACACAACATCTTTGTTTGTATGTGGTGCTGAGGATCGAACCCGGGCAGCACGCATGCCAGGCGAGCGCGCTACCGCTTGAGCCACATCCCCAGCCCCTGGAAGAAGTCAATTCTAAAAAAGTTATTGATCCAACAAAAATTCTTACCCAGGGGGCTGAGGCTGTGGCTCAGGGACAAAGCTCTTGCCTCGCATGTATGACGCACTGGGTTTAATCCTCAGCACCACATAAAAATAAAGATACTGTATGTTTATCTACAACTAAAAAATATTTTTAAAAATTCTTACCCAGATTGATAAATTTTGTGATTCTGAGTGTTCACGTTAGCTTACTAGGTTGTTGAGCAAATGACTAAATAAGCATGAAACCATTCATCACCAAAAGAATTCAGAGATGAAAATATGGGCTTTGTGGGCCCAGGTGGTGAGAAAGGAGGAAGCTTCAAGTTATTCACAAAATATAAATTCCTGGAAGTGTATGTCAGATCAGTCGGGGCAGGCAATGGCCAAAGGAGGCAGATTTAAAAGGGCCGCTGAACAGGCTTTATCGAGATATCACTCCCCGGGGGAACTCCATCAGACCCACAGAGGGGACAGGGGAAGGGTCTGAGGAGAAACCGCGTGGAAGCTTGACCGGACTGGACTTTTATGGAGCTTACAGCAGGAAGGGAAGGGCTTGGGACAGGAAAAGGTGTTTCTAGGGTCCCTTGCCCCATT